TTAATGAAACAATTATTAAAGGACTTTTTTTTTTTTTTTTTTTTTTTTTTAATTCTTATACATAAAATTCTTGAAAATCTGAAAAATTCTTTTCGCTTTCCCCATCTTAAAAAAGAATATTTTTATGAGGGATTTTCTGGAAGAAGTGTTTTGAAATCAGTTTCTGCTCTTACTATTTAAACTTAGGTTAAATTAAAGTAAAAGTTAGAATTCGAAAATTTTCTGAATTCAGTTTTACTCGACAGCTCTAATGTAGTAAAGCTATTTTGTTTAAACCAAATCTACGAGTCATTTTCACAAATTGGAAATCGGTAACTTTACAAACCACCCACTAAATCCCCCTACTCTGAAAATGAAATAATCTTTTTCTTGCACCATTGAAAATGATTATTATTTTTCCCCTTAATTTCTGCAAAACTTACAGATCCTGAACTGAGTGAGCTTTTGTATAGTATTCGAGAAAATACGCTATAAGATAATTTCTCCCTCCTTTCTGTATATATATATATATATATATAGCATAAGAGAAAATATGAAAATATTCATTATTTTAGCAGCTGCAATACTTCTTGGAAGCCAAAAGAATGAATTTATATTGTCACAAAAGTTTGAAAATCTAGTCCTCTTTGGTATATTTAAAAAAATATCTGTTCTGTGCACATCTGCTTGATATGCGAATGTCGTCTTTGTTCCGTGTAACCCCCTCCTTTGTAATTATCAGGTCCTACTGATCGAATATACGAGTTTCTTCTATTTCGGTGGGTCTATTCGGTGGGTGAGACCCCACTTGGTCTCTCTTGCACTTCTTTACATTTAGGTGTCTTCACTAGTGAAACCTACTGGAATGAAGATCTCAGTGTTTCCTAAATTCTACTTGTTGGTATATTCCAAGTTGTTTTCATAAAAATTCTCATCTATTTCAGAAGTTTAACCTCATTTTCTTCTGAATCCACCAACGATTTTAGTTGTTTATTGTCAGCCCTTGTATCAGAATTCACTTTTTCTTATCTCTAAATTCTTAAGATTTGCTTCTGTAGTAGAGATGCTGTCTTTTCTTATTGAAGAAATGTGTGTTTGAAATGCAGATATTTCCTACTCATTCTTGCAGATATCATGCAGATCATTCATGCAGATATTTCTATTGCAAATGACAACCACTATTTCTAGCAAGGGTCTTGCAACGTAACAGGACATTTTTCTTGAGGAATAAAATAATAACAAAGACTGCCAAACGTAGGTAGATTTCTGATATAGGATTACGGGTTATGAACGATAATTTATGATTGACGATATGCAAGCAAGTTAGTAGGTTTGTGACTAAAAACAGGATAAACAAAAGGATTGAGCAGTAATACCTCAACAACTCATTTAGAACCTCATACTAAGCATGGACAGACGATGTGAAAACTGCTCAGCAGTCAGAGCACAGCATCATATATCCTACTAAAGGCTGGATGTTTCTTGCTGGACACCTGCCACATGCATGTTTTGGCCGTCTCTTGCATTGTGTTCCACGCTACTTTTTCAATAAAATTCCTTTGTATTTCTTTTCTTGGAAGTTTTGCTTACATTCCCCATGTTCTTATTATTAATTTACCGAAATTTCGGAACGGCAGAGTAGAAAACAATACTATCCAGTTCAAAATGGTAAAATATGATCAGACTACTCTAAGGTGATTACAACATAGCAACTTAAGCACACATCGTGGCACGTAAATAGATTGGTGTGCAATAACTAAGGACGAAGTTGAAAAATTAACTTATCAGCGGAACTAAAGGCAGAGCGGACTAAAAGATCAATCAGGATATTGAGTTAGGTACGGTAGCAGAGGCGCATATATGCAGCTATACTTAATGGGGGAGTGTCGGATACAGATTGCTGGTGGTGTAAGCTGAGCATTTCTAGGAAACTATTGCACGGCGTATATCAGTTTAAACGACGACTAATTGCTGCCTCAGTGTGAAATATCCAACAATCAATCTGTTAGAGAATATTTAGCTGATTTTACCCTAGGTCAAATCATTAGACAGCTTGAGGGAAGTCGCAGTGTGGCAAGTGTGGCTGCGGAGTTCGAGACTGCTCACAACATCATTTTGCGACATTGGAGCGCATTTCATCCTAGAGGAATAGCTGTCCGATGGTTCAGCAGTGGTCGTTCACGAGCAGCTACGGCAGCGGACGATCGGTACATTGCCCTACAGGTAAGAAGGAACAGGCGCATACAGCGGGAGAAATCTCATGACACTTAGAACAGGCGATTGAACGTCTAACATCGCGTTTTACTGTGGCCACGAGGATGTACATTGGTGGTATGTTTGAACGATTATCTGTACGATGTATGATATTAACTACTGCTCATCGGAAAAGGCGTTTTCTATGGTGCAGGGAATACCAGAATTGTACAGATAATCAATGGAGTTGAGTACTCTTACAAAAGCAGATTTAATCTGAGTAGCGCTTTTAGACACATACACATCTGGAGAGAGCGGGGAACACGTAAAAACCCTTCTAACATCATTGAAAGGGACCGCTTTAGAGCTCTCGGTTCTCGTTTGTGGAGGCATCGTGTTTGGTAGCCGTGTTGACCTTCACATCTTCCAAGGAGGTTCAGTCACCGGAACCCGCTTTTGTAACGACGTTCTCCTTCCTTCTGTGCGTCTTTTCAGGGGTGCTATGGGTCCTCGGTTATTAGGTACTATGGATGCTATGGATCCTCTTCATAGATGACAACGCTCCATCTTATCGCACAATTCTGTCGAAGAGCTGTTGGAGAGTGACGATATTGAACGATGGATTGGCCGACAAGGTCTTCGGATCTAAATACCATTAAACATGTATGGGACTTTTTAAAGAGATGCGTGGCAGCACGTAACTTATCGCCAGTAATAATTCCGCAGTTGCGATCAACGCTACAAAAGGATTGAGCAGTAATACCTCAACAACTCATTTAGAACCTCATACTAAGCATGGACAGACGATGTGAAAACTGCTCAGCAGTCAGAGCACAGCATCATATATCCTACTAAAGGCTGGATGTTTCTTGCTGGACACCTGCCACATGCATGTTTTGGCCGTCTGTTGCATTGTGTTCCATGATACGTTTTCAATAAAATTCCTTTGTATTTCTTTTCTTGGAAGTTTTGCTTACATTCCCCATGTTCTTATGTCTTAAGGATCTTATGATATTATTTGTATTGATTTGGAAAGCTTTTGTACAACGTTATATTGACAAACACCCTCTCGTCCGCAAATTTTGCACACTAGTGTATTTTCCAAGTAAATTTTGCGAATGCTGGAGTGTAGCAGTTTATACAACGATATTATGTCCTGATACATGTAAGTGAGGGATTCTGTCAAAAAGCTAAAGAAATACAGCATTGTTACTTCAAATCTCAAAAAGCTCTTTTTGAGTAGCGAAAAGGAAAGCTAAGAAACACACGTAGTAGGAAATAATTATTACAGGCCTCTTTCCATACCTGATAAACTGTAGTATTACCTGTAGTTTCCATGATCAGAATAAACTTTTCAAGCTCTAATGTCCATCGTGCATGAAAGTAATCAATCTATAGTTATTTTTAATTTAATAATGGCCATGATTCGTTACAGTTACTCAGAATGTAACCAATAACTGAGATAAAATGACATTTGTACTTAAACCGCTTGAAATATTTCCTAGATCTTAAGTCTTATCACAGAAATATTTCCTAGATCTTAACGTCGTGCAACAAAATATTAACAATAACTTTTCAAATACTTTTCTACAAAAGTACCAGTTAAGTCCAGTTGAGCAGGATGATTCTGCACGCAATTTTCTTCTTACGTCAAAATGTTTTAAAGTCAAAAGAAAATACACTTCGATATAACGATGTCAAAGCACGTGAAATCATAATTTAATGAAAAGGAAAAAGAATAATTGGAAAAACATATTTATAAATGCTATATATGGGATATAAAGAATCCATGTTATTAGTGGCAGTCTCTGCTCAGTGTCAGTTACAATGATATTGAGAATATAAAATCAGAATGATGTAAATATGCAGGGAATATTGCCAATACAAACTATAACCGATTGTTTTACAGAGTGATGTTCGAAGTTATATCAATTATAGTCCAAAGTGGTGTCAGTTATTGATGACTGTCTGGCTGACATGATTGCAGATGCTGTGTTACACTATGTACTGGTTTAAATATTTTTTTAATGATAAAGCCTTATTATTTCATTTTCAGTTATGCTTACCTAATGTTACACGCGTCTTACCTGTTGCTAGGTATGTCAATAAACTTCTACAAGTAATAATCAAGATGAAATAAGCAGCTCTTATTCGTTAGATAAACCAAATTGTTCGCGTTTTTTACCTGCTACATTCCATTTTTTATTATCCAGGCGCTATGGCTATTTTCTCCTTCCTTTCTGCATGCCTTCTTGGTGTTACAGTCAGCACACTCGGAACGTATTCGAGAGGTCCAGGTTCGAGTCCTTGTGATGGTGTTGCGCATTTTTCATGTATTTCTCATTCAAAAATACCTAATGTATCTAGAAGCTTAATCTTAGAACAGTGGAATATTTCCTTCATATCGCTTTAAATGGTTTTAAAAAAATGTAACGAAAATAAGAGCTTTAATTTTTTATGTTACCGTCTACGCTGCATGTAAATATTAGATGGATATATTCTGATGGTCTTTACTTTTGTTATATGACACTGATGAAGCATCAACTATGCATGCTTATATGACACTCATAAATCATCAACTATGCATAATGTGAGAATAGTTATCCGGAAGAAAGAATTTGACAGATTTCAACATACATTTCTAAAAAAACTTATCTGAAATAATCCCACGCTTTTAAAATTAAAGTGAATGTTGAAGAAAGGGAATTTTATGCTATAGTTCATTGCACTTTCCCAACAAGGAGAGCTGAAATGATGTCATAACCCCTTGACACACATCGCTAAACTCGAAAACTGGCAATCCAACCTTTACCGCATTTCTCCGCTGATATTCTGTACCATAGCAACGAACGCAGTCCAGTTGGGTAGGAGTGCTGCTTAGGCAGCAAAGTAAGGTTAAGGGCAAGTAAATCAAACTGTCGGGGGAGCACATGTCATGAATTTGTGGAAAGTATGCGGTCTTATTTTGGCATGTAATATCTTTTATGTATCAAGATAAGAGAAATAATGCCAGGTATTGTTTAATATATATATATTAAGTTGACATGTTACGAAAACAGAATATTATTGAAGTATATATATTTAATCGACATATAAAAAAAAAAAAAAAAAAAAAACAGTGTAATCTTTTATAGTTATTGTTAACCATTTGGAAGATATTTTTTAAACGATTTTCTGTATAACATGAATGGTTGCTAAATGTATAATAAAATTGCCCATACTATTGTATTTACTTAGTGTATAATAGCTACAGCACATGCTATATAATATTTTTCTTTATTTATGTAAATCATTCTGCTGACATATTAGCAGCGTGAGTTCATGTCAGTGCTTAATGTATTAACTGTATATAAATGTATAACTATAATATTTATCTTACTCTTAAAATAGGGTCGATTCGTTACTTTGTGTCATTATATTTGCCATTTTTGTAATGCAAGTAGTATCTGATGATATTTATGTAAATGTTTAGTTTTTAATTTATATACTTTTTCTTCCTTCGCTTATATATATTAGTGTTTGATAGTAAAAATTGAATTTTTCATTTCCTCTGTTTTATCTGACCATTAATTTTTCCCCATAACATTAAACCTGACTGTTTGCTCATAATTTTCTTTTGTACCATGTGGGAAAGTTTGTGCAATCAATGAAATTATTCTGCAAGAAACTCACTAATTCTTTCCTCCTATGTAGTGAAGAGGAAATATCTTTGAAAAGATAACTTCTTATTCAGAAGTTGTGGTTCTTTCAAGGACAAATGAAACAGGTTTCAGAATATCACAGATGCTTTAGTATAAGCCACATGATGCCTCAGATATGCTGCATGCTTCATTTTAACTAGAGATGTTTAGCCATAGGAAATTAGGTGAGTTTGGTTAATTTCATGCTAAAATTATACTTCCTTAAATAATTTGTGTAGATCAGTCTGTGCTTTTAAGTGAATTTTAATGTATTCAAATAAAAGTTGGTAAAAAAATTTGCTTGAAAAGTTTAGTTTAACAGCAGCTATTGAATGTCTTTGATTTTATGCATTAAATTATTTTCATCTATTTTTATTTCAAGAAGAATGAATAAATAAAAATTTCTTAAAATACAAAAGACTTCACTTGTTGTAATCATTAAGATTTTCACTAAGATATCTTTCAGATATACAGTCTTGAGTTTACTGTTTTAACAGTACACTTTTGATATTGTATTCATGTGTAATTATGTATACTTTAAATTTTGAGGATTGTAATATATTATATCAATACTCTTATATGGAATAATATTCAGGAAAATATATTGATAAGATATAAAGAGCTGAATGATAATTTTTTATTTTTTAAAAATTTCTAAAATGGTACTGTTAAAAGAAGATAATATGTGTAAATATGTTACATAATGTTATCAGAATGAAAACGGATTCTCCCTGCATTTTATGCTTTTTTTAATATGGAAAAAGCATTTTTCTAGGTCTCTGATCCGAGGCAAGAAAACTCATTAAAAGTAATTGTATATTTAAATTTCCCTATTTTGGTTACTGTGGTCAAATTTCAATTTGCAAGTTTAAGTAGTGAATTATAAAAAAAAATTTTAATTATCATGTAACGGAAGTCTGACTTTTTTTTCTAATTTATTTAATATTATTTTATGTTCAATTCAAATGTTACCATTTAGTGTTTTTTAAAATTTATCATTTAAGGCTAGTTGTGAAGTCTACTATGACTTCAAAGTCTATCTATATCTTGGATTCTATTTATTTTATACCCTGGTTTGGATATTTCTGTGTGATATTTTGGTTTTCTTTGTTGGGATGACATAAAGAATTCCATGTACAATCTTATGATTGATATATTTTACAATTTAATAATTCCATGTATATTTTATAATATACATGGAATTGATATGTTTATAATTTAATAATGTTCTGGACGAGTTTACTGATATTAAATAAAAGTGTGAAATGTTTAGTGTTATTTCGAAGTTCTTGATAATTTATATATTTTAACAAAACTAGATTTTTTTTATTAGTCTTTTTAATTTAGAAATATTCTAGATTATTACTACATCTTTCTAAGTTATTCTAAATGTTGAAAAATCTTGCAAGTTGTCAAATCTGTTAGATACATGGTTAGTTATATATTCTCACGAAAAATCAGTCTACTCGACTGAAGCTTTCCTTTGGTTTTCATGTATTTTTTTAAGTTATTCAATTATTATTATTATTATTATTTTAGTTATATGGCTGTCTATTGGTGCCTTCTTAGCTATTTCTGGAATTGTTCTCTTCCTCTGCTTTCCTGTGATATTTAATATTATTAAAAAAGGTAAGCTTTGAATTTCATTAATTTTTATGTTAAATTTCTCGATTATATGTCATTTTAATATATGTATGAAAGCTAAGTATTCATTTAATTTCAAAATCATATATAAAATATTAGCTGTTATGAAAACCAGAAATAAAGCTCAGAATTTTAAAAATGTTATTCTTTTTTGTATTTTATTATTCATTTTGAAAATCCTTTAGGTCTAGTTTATTTAATCATTGAGATATAAAAGAAAACATTGTACATTAATTACAAATATATTTAAATTCTTTTAAAAGCATAAGTTAATATAGGAATAAATATTACTTGCTTGCTTTAGCAAACCAATTTCAGAGTACATTGCTGGCCATCAAAATTGCAGCTCCAATAAGAACAAAAACTAATGCATTTTAGGACATTTTACAGACTCCTTATATATTAAATGTTTAAAATTTCAGAAACATTGAACAACTAAAGTAACTAAAGTAGCGGTGATAAGTACCAAATCATCATGAACAACAATTAATTGTTGAGATACTACATTCCATGCAGTTGTGATTTGTTGCCAGAATTCACATCTTATTGTTAGTTTCCTCAGTCGTACTAGTCTGTGTGACATCATAGACCATTTGTATTTGGTTGGAAAAATATTTGGGGACCATGTTGGCCAAGACAGAAATATACTTTGTGTGTTGAGAAAGTATCCAATGTTTATTGCAATGTGTCCTTTTAGTAAGTGCTTCTGAAAATATGAGATAACCACACTGCTTAACACATCTTTAGTGCAGTGTAGACTTGTCAGACGTTGGATATAGATATCTTACACAAATAAAATTTGTATCTAATCATACCCAGTAACACAACTCTTACTGCTGTAATTATGTTGCATTCAGATGCAAAATTTGTCTAAGAAAATGTCATGTCATTTATTCATTCATGTGCATTGTTCAGCCTATATTGCAGTCCTAAATGCATGTGATGATGTGATTCAATTGCAGCGGGTAGCTGCATATTTATTTACAAATTTTCACCATTTGGTACCTACTTAAATTCTTGTTAAAGGATAATAGGGCAGGAAATCATTTCCTATTTTACCATATTTGGTCTGATACAAACACTTTCGATCCTGCAGTTTTTATGCACCAAATCTTGAGTTCTGCCTCTTTATTTTTCAGCATATAATCTTTAGCACCATTTTTGTTTTCTTAGTGGTCCCTTTTAACATCTAAATCCAATACAAAATCTAACAAATGATTTCAACTTACTTTTTTAAAAATAGTTTAGTTATGTTTCTGTTTAAAAAAGGATTTGTATTTTATATTTTTTATTAAATACATAATCTTTTGTTATGGAATAATATTTTCTATTAAAGGGCCCACCAGCGGCCTAGCAGTAAAGTTGTTGAACACTGGTAGTTCAGTCTGAGGTTCAAATTCCGCAAACAGGCTGGCTGCATGGGCGTTTTCATATTTTTCCACATGTATAGCAAGTATAAGAGCTAGTTTCCCATAGAAATTTCTCCACGAAGGCATCCCTTCCCTTAGATGACTAGCTCTTGACGCTTTGCCATAATCACATAAACCAAACTATTCTATAAAGGAAGATCTTAAACAAGACACTTAAAAATCTGTTAATGTGAAAGTCCTTGCAGAAGTCTGTGGCTGGGGAGTACAAAATCCTCATACATCTGTCAGGATTTTTTTATCAAACTCAAGGTAGTTTAATTGGATAATCGTGTGCTGTGTTCACTGGTTTTCAGTACCTAAGAAAATCTTAAAATTAGCCCCTAACGTTTTTTTTTTTTTTTTTTTTTTTTTTTTTTTTTTTTTTTTTTTTTTTTGATATAGTATTTAATTTATATTTTTATTTAATACCTTTTACTTAATACAAGTCTGTAATTCATCTCATACTGGGTAGATTTTGATTCACCAAAGGATACTTTTTTAAACTGTACTGTTAAAATTTAAATAAAACTATGTTTTTTGTAATAACAGATTTTCCTCGTAATTTGTTTTCAGTGTATATGTGAAATGATGATTTTATATTTTATGAGAACATTACTGCATGAAATTTTATATATTTTACATTTAAAATATATATAATTACATTAAAATATATACAGTTAATTCAACAATTATGTTTAAATATGTCTTTTTTTTTTTTTTTTTTTTTTTTTTTTTTTTTTTTTTGTAGTCTTGTCTATACATTTCATTCCAGTGAATATAATTACTGTTGTTTAATTTTAATAATGAAATATTTGTGTTCTGTGTATTAAGTTTGGCATTTTTTCTTAGCAAATAGCCCTTGAAAATGGTACTATTGGATATAATGTATGGCAAGATATACCTTTACCAATTTATCAGCGGTTGTATTTCTTCAACATCACAAATGCAGAAAATTTTATGAGAAGAAGAGAGAAACCAAAATTACAAGAAGTAGGACCGTATACTTTTCGGTAAGAGAAATATGTATTAGTTTTTAATTATTCGATCCAAGGATTATAAGAATTTTTATTTTTATTTTATTTTATTTTTTTATTTATTTATTTTTTTTTTTATAGTACAAAGTTTGAGATCTGAAATCATCAAGACTTCAGCAATTCTGAATTTTAGATTACAAGTTTAAATCTAGTAAGATTACATATGTGTAGAGATTATAAAATTTAAAATATTCTTTATTTATATATCTTTAAGAAATACTTTTTTCTAGAATTTCTGGATGATTTAACTGCTGCATCAGATTTGTAAGAAAATGCTTTATATCTGCATTTTAGTGCCTGTAAAATTCCGATATCCATTGGCTAATTGACGTATGTACAATTTTGAGCAAACATTAAAAGAGAGATATTATCATTTACTAAAACTGTCATTTTGACGAGACTGATAATTATAAATGGTACAAAATAATAAGCTGCTTCAAATCAGGAAGTTAAATGAAGAGCAAACTTGCTATGCTCGGTGAATTTAAATTCCTCTGAATCTAAATCTTTCTTTTTTTGCCTGTTATGATATCAACATAAGGAAAGTATTATGAACCACTTCCCAATCAAAATATGTCTCAGCATTTCTCTTTTTGTTTAGATCAAATAGAAAAATGCTCCCCTCCACATTCACAACCACTCAAGTGCCGAAAGTATGTTTGTGGTTAGTGTCAAAACAGCATCAATTGATCTATTGATTGTCATCGGCTATGGTGTGATTCCATAGCCAGTAATTGAAAGTAACATATGAGAATCTGAGGTAGCTGGAGAAGAATCGCTTTTATGGCACATCTTTTGACAGTTAATTTTTTGCTTTTAATTCACTGATTGTCCTGAAGTTTAGATTTTGGATTTTGTACTGTATTTATTAATGTGTGTTCTAAGCTATCAACTTTATGAGTTTTTGAGTAAACTTTTTTAATTCTAACCTTAACTATGCTAGCATTTTCTACCACTTAAAAATTTGATTGATATATGATTTTGTCATCCATGTGATGCAACAAAACACAAAATCCATCAGATTATATATCCTTTTTCCAATTCTTTAAGCTCCATATTTGATCTTGTGAGCATATTGCTGATATTTCAGTACTTATCAGTTATAGTGGCTTTAGCAGCACACGGGAATCTATATGTTTAACCCTTTGCAGCACAATGTGACCGGGCACACCTAAACATTTCCTTCTGTACGCTCAGAAAAGTTTAATGAAAAAGGATTTATAATAAATGAAGTGTTGCTGGGGTTACCCTCAATCTTTATTTATAGTAGATGGCAGCTCAATGCAAACCAATCCATATATTTTAGGCATGTTTAGTTTTTAAAGACCCTCATTTTTCAAAGAAATCTTCCAGGTTTTTTTTTTTTTTTTTTTTTTTTTTTTTTTTTTTTTTTTAAGATATAAAAGGAATTGTTTGAAAAGAAATGTTTGTTATTTTCTTGCCTGTATGCTAATCTTCTTATTCTATATTAGTTTCAAATTTTTACCTTAATCTTGCCTAAAATCAAACGACAAACTTCAGGAGTGGGCTCACGAGAGACTAAAACAACTGAGAGACTGTATCTTTGTTTCTCTGCGGCTCATTGGTCAGTTTATTGACAATAGAAAGATAGGTTGACATCTGTGGTTCATTTCCTGTTTTTCTCTTTCTTCTTTTCTCTTTTTTTTTGGGGGGGGGGGGCAGGGGATGTTTGGTTATCAACTAAGAAATTGTTGAGGTGATTTTCTGAAGGTCAGGGGTAATTTTATCAGTTAGCTATTTTGTTTTTTCCTAGAGCAGTTCTCTTTTTCTCTTTCGCTTTCATTCAAAGAAGTTTTGTTAGCGCTACGTTCAATAGTTTTGAATTGTAGACATTTATTTAATTTTATTTTATAGTTTATAATTTCTAATATTAGATATAATATTAGTTTTTTTTTAATTATTATTTTCCAAATGGATCGGAGAAGGATGACCATTTCTGAAGTACTGAAAGTGCTACACAAATTGCTTTCAGATACTGATTCTGATACAGACCCTGGTACATGTGCAAAACATGTAATATTGGGTTGTGCTTTTTTAAAGGTGGTGTCACTTTCTTCGAAAAGTACTACCATGAAAAAAAATAGACGAAAGTGTAAATATCATATACCCAAGTTACTTTTTTCTCATTTGTATTCATGTAATCATCATATAATCAAAAACCGCTTTTTTAGGGGGGTAGTAGAGTAGTAGGTCTTCCCATGGCACACTCTGGGTAATGCTAATTCTGCTACACTATTCAGAATTTAGTGTTTTGTAATCGTAGGCAAAATCTCATACTCTTTCATGCGCTTCCCAGCAATGCTCGTTTCAGCACTCTTTTCGAAGCTCTATTCATTCAGTGTGCCCACTTCGGGCACACCCACAGAATTAAAACAATAAGTGCTATCTTCACAAAATTTTACCTGTGTCCTCTTCTGGGCCTGATTAGACTGCCTACCTTTTTTTTTTTTTTTTTTTTTTTTTTTATCGAAATTCCAACTTTAAAAGGTTAGCATGCTGACCTGACTGAATAGTTAACTTAAATGAGAAACACAAAGTGGGTAGTCTACATTTTAGGGTACCTCTTGGATTATCGCTGAGTTGTTATTTCATTTATTTCACGTTGAATATTATGGAAACCCTATTATGACGTGATTGGTTGTAATGCGTGATTGCAGTGATTATGACTGTTTGAAAATATTTCTCAGGGCTTATTTATGGGTGTTGGTTAGGAAAAACATTGCTTATTTTCTGCTTTATGCCATAAAACGTTTGTTGGTGGTACGATTAACCTGAAGCTTCTGTGCGCTTTGGAACAAATAGGAAAGAAATCACTGGTTCACTGGTATGTAAATGAAGGTTTAAATGGCTTCGTTCACCTCTCAGTAAATTACGCAGTGACATATAAGGATTTGGAAACCGGAGCTCATATCAACCCTGTGGAAGGTATGTGGGGTGTAATAAAAAGGGATTTTTCAAATTAAATGCACCGGCAGTATGGAGGACGTTTTTTTAATTTTTACTTTTCTAAATATATGTGGCGATGCAGTATCTAGATTCTAGTTCAGGTAATTTAAACAGTTTTTGGATGCTGTTAAGGAATTCTGCGTGCAACGTACTGAAGACTCAGAAATTTCTAAATAAGGTATGTCAATATTTCATTTTTTTACTGTACAGATTAGATAACATTTGTTTCCATTTTTATGTTATTTCCTTGTTTCATTTTGATTTTAGGTGCAATTGATTGAGATTTTTTATGTTTTGTTGTGTTATGTTTGGATGCTATTTTACTTGGGAGGGCATAGCACGTAAATAAGAATGGCACCCCAAAAATCACGAATTTTCATCAAAGGGTACCCTGAAAAATATTCCCCCCCCCCACTTGGTTACTTGTAAACACAGCATATTCATTCTAAATAATGTGTACTTGCATATTATGTACAGGTAATTAAATACATGATTTATTTACTATACATGTACATAAACAATCTGATATGAATTTAAATTTATTTTAATTAAAAGCAAGCAATTTATTTTAAATAAACAACACAGATAAATACTTGAAATTATTTCAACTTATAACACATACAACATAAATACACTTAAAATGTAAGTTTCTGGTGGCCTCAAGCTGGTTTCTTTTCCTAACATACAGCTGCAGGTTTTGGCCATTTTTACAAACTCTTTTGAAGGATAAAGTACTGCTACTTACTGATTATCAAGTTCCCCACTGAAAAGTTGCCAAGCTAGTTGCCAACTAATTTCTCACCTAGCTGATGTATAAAGGCATTCATAATGGGTAATAAATCATCATAATCATAATAAATTTACCAGAAAATTCGGGGGATTTAAATATTTTAGTCAAAATCTTAAAAGTCGGGAAATTTCATTCTTCAATCCCCAAAAAAGCAATTTTCATGCAAGCATCAAAAGTGATCACTTTCTTGGCAAATCATGTATCACTTGAGCATCATTTGGACAGCTGCTGTAGAGCCAATTTTTCCAGCACCAATCAGATTGTCTTTTAAAAGGGCAAAGCAAGCTTCCAGCATATTTTAGATTCCAGTAACGTTGAGAATCTAGAGATTTACATGCGCATGTGCAGTGCATGTTGAACAAAAGTAAATTCTCCCGATTGTTGTCTAAAACAAAATCTTTTAATCCTTCTCTTCTTTCTTAAATGTCTTGTTTGTCATTTTGCAGTAAAATAAAAAAAAGTAATAATCTGTCATGTATGCTAACCATTTAATATATCTATACAGTCAAAAGTCTTTAATCCGGACGTCCATAATCCGGAATGATCTATAATCCGGACCTCAAGGCTACAAACTTTCTGCGCATAGGTAAATGCATAATATCTTTACGCATGCGCATATGCGTATACGCATAATATGTTTACGCATGTGCGTTTAATGTATAACCGGTGGTATAAGCTAAGCTAAAAGTTATCCATTTCAGTTAATGCTGCAGATTGCATTGTTTCTTAATCTTTGAATTGGATCCGGCTTATTATTTTTTGCAGACTGTTGGAGCAATTTATAAAAGTAAGCTTGAACTTTCGATTATGTCAAAAAGAATTTCCAATTCTGGAGCTGCCAAAGGATCTACAAAGCGAAAACATGTTTATATCACGAATACACATCACAAATACACGTCAAATAGTTTTCTGGTTGTAATTTTCTAATTTCGACTATGCGTAATGTATGCTTTACGCATGCGTGCATTGAAAGAAATGTTTAATAAAGTAAACAAATAAATATTAAGTTTTTTTTGTAAATTTTGATACCCTTTAGATCATAATTGCTTTTTATTTCATAAATTACGGTTTCATATTTTTAATTTTATAGCTTCGCGTAATGTATGCTTTACGCATGCATGCATTGAAAGAAATGTTTAATAAAGTAAACAAATAAATATTAAGCTTTTTTTGTAAATTTTGATACCCTTTAGATCATAATTGCTCTTTATTTCATAAATTACGGTTTCATATTTTTAATTTTATAGTTTCTACATGCCATCTTACCAGATTTAACTTGATCTATAATCCGGAATCGCCGAAGTCCTGATGAGTCCGGATTAAAGACTTTTGACTGTATTCACCAAATAATATCGATTTTTATAATTCAGTTTTGAATCCTTAAGTAATCAACTTTATTTTAATGTTATTTGTATCATTTAATGTGTCTTCTTTCTTCTAAATTTAATTTATTATTAGTTAGCAATACTTTCAAATTTCAGGCATTTTTTTACGGCATACTTGTGAAACTAATTCTAGCAGTAATATGACATACCATCATGAAATTTAGTGCACGTATTTTTTACTTGGGTATGCTGCTAAATAAATATAAAATACTTGAATTTATTTTTAAAAAATCTTTGAATAGGTTTCTTTTTTCCTTTAGCTGCAAAATGTGTGCAGAAAAGACATTTTTAAATCCCGATTGTGCAGATTTCTGATCTCGATCCTCAGTGGAGAAATTAACATCTAGTATAGTTTTAGAAGTAATGCCTTAGGAATTATATAAAGTCATGCAAATTTTTGTATTTTGAAGTGGTGCTATAATTAATTTACCCTCAGCATGTCCAACAGGTGCTACACAGATAGCCTGGAATTTTCTTGAAAAACACCTGGAAAATTTGGGGAATTTTATTTTCCTGTTTGAGTGGCAACCCTAGTTTTTATTTATTTTTTTTATTTTTTTTTTTTTTTTTATTTTTTTTTTTTTATTTTTTTTTTTTTTTTTTTTTTTTTTGTTTTTTTTTTTTTTTTTTTTTTTTTTAAATTAGGGAATTGCACAAACTCGGTAACCATGTAGTTCAGCATGTGCCCCGGACAAAACAGACATTTACTACTTGCATACCTGGGTTGTCACATAACTATGTTGGTAACATAGTGCTGTGCCTCATGAATACATTTTGACAAATTCTACAGATAACTGATATTGCCAAAATGCTTTTCTGTTGGACAAACACAGCACCAATTTTTGGGTAATACAAATTTTTATGGTTTGCAAGTGCTGGTCATTTTCAGAGGAAATGGTTCACTATATTTCATTTAATGATCATGGAAGTTTTGTAATAGTCACCTTTTTATGTTTTTAAATCATAAAATGTATTTTCTAACTGCAGTTCTAGATGGGTTAAAGAATCAATAGTCTGGCATCCAAATGGAACTGTGTCTTTCAAAGAAGTGCGCACCTTTGTCTTCCTACGAAATGAATCAGTTGGAAGTCAAGATGATAAAATTGTCACTTTAAATGCTCCATTACTGGTATGAATATTTATTATTAAATTGATTTTAAGCTCGTACATGTATTTATTTAGAACTTTTTGTGAAAAAATTCTTTCTCTGTGCAAGTACAAAGTTATATATCTCATATAGTTTTCTGTCTTGTTTAAAATTAGAACTATCTTGGGGTGGGTAATCAATATGATATTAAGATCATGAGTAAAGTAAAATGAAATAGTAGTTAGAAAGGATCTCCATTCCTGCTTTGGGCAGCTATCCCTTGTCAGCTAATAAATTAACCAACCAACCACTGTGGTTTTAATAAATATTTTTAGTGTTCTAAAATTCACAATGCTAGATTTGGAAGGACCAACAGTGTTTTGAAAATACATTTTGAGACAGGTTCTAGATTTTTAAAACATTGTGTTGATTGCATTATTTTAATAATGATAGGCATTTTTAAATTGCTACAAAGTTAATAGAACTATGCAATAACTGGCATTACAAGTGTTACGTTATTTTCTTCCTTCACGTTCGTACAGGGTTCGTAGATTTGGAGTGAATAACGACAACACTTGATGAAGTATCGAAACACACTTTATTTACCAATATTCTCAGGACAGCTTCAAAATAACTTTTACAGTCGTCGAACTGTTATAAACACGCCAACACGGTCAGCGACACAGCCTTCACACTGTCAAGCAATAAAGGTAAAAACAGCTTCACTGCAAAGCACCAGAGTGCAGCTTCCGACTCTGTTTAGTCGTTCTTGGAACTCCACGTACTCTCGAGACTCTCCACATGCGATGCACTCGGCGATACACAAGAGTATAGCTCTCGACTCAGCGCAGTTTAAGACAAAACTCGACGATGCACTAAAAGACTCTCTCGATGTACTCGGCGCAAGACTTCGAGACACTCGCTCAATGACTATCAACTCGCTAGACAAGGCGCACACACACACACTGACTGCAGAACAGCAGGGTTTATATAGCTTTTGGCTTGCGTTCGAGAACATTCTGGGCTAAACCGGTAAGAATTCGTTCCAGTAGGCTCTCCATCCGTCCATGTTATATCGCCAATTTTGTCGCCAAATGGGCGATTTCTCACCAAATGTGGCGACCCTGCTTTCTCATGGCAACCCTAAAACTGCTTTGCGAGGAAGCTATCTCACCGCACCTGTACATTTCATAACACTGCTCCTTCCAAAGGACTGCACGTCCCGGACAGTACAACTAAGCTCTTTAATACATTAATAAACATAATTAAAGAACTTAGTTACTTTGTCCTCCGGGGATTGGCCACGAAACGAGGAACATTGAAATAAGGACCAGAACATGGAAAGAAGGTGCATGGTGGAGACTGCTGAGACTAAGCGGAACACTTTTCACTGCGATAATAGTGAAAAGACCTTGAAGACCTGTGTGTCTTCATACAGCCAAAATGCCCTCCTGTTCAGCTGTTGTGTATTTCCTTCAGATCATCAGGTATTCGGTTTCGAGGAAGCAGCAGCTGCCATGTCTTATTAGTTCCATCGTCGCTTTCCCATAGTCGATGTGACTCCATTTCGGAAATGGAGTGAATCCCAGAGAGCCCAGTACCTTTTAGTTGCAGGACTGAAGATGGAAATGTCCTGCCACTTGTGTTTTGTACTGGATGATTCCTTCAGTTCTGTTATTGGCCTAATGTCAGGATCCGCTGATTGGTCTTCTCTTTTTTATCACTCCACGGATCTGGATCAGTTGATGTTGAGATGTTACTTGCCGGATATTCGGATTTGCCAACCCATACTTAGCCTCGGCTCTTGAACAATGGCTGCAGTGTGCAAGACAAGGCTTCCTGGATAAAGCATCTGCATTTCCATGGGAGGAGCCTTTGCAATGTTTTATCTCAAAGTCATATTCCTGCAGTTTTGAATTCATCTGGCTATTTGTCCTTCGGGATTTTTGAAATTCAGTAGCTAGGTTAGAGAAGCATAGTTGGTCCACAATAAGAATTTTCTGCCATAGAGATAATGAGGGAAATGTTCTATGGCCTTTACGATAGCAAGCAATTCTTTACGGGTGATGCAATAATTCCTTTCCGGTTTAGACAAGCACTTACTCCAATAGGCTATTACTCGCTCTTGACCATTAATCATTTGAGAAAGAACACCTCCCACACTTTTGTTGCTTGCATCTGTGTCCAATATAAATTCTTTGTCTGTCTGGGGATATGGGAGCACGGGCGTAAATGTTAATGCCGTCTTCAACTGATTAAAGGACTTCTCGCACTCCAAGGGTACACGAATTTTTGTTTACTTTCTGTTAATTTATGTAGAGGCTTTGCAATGTGGAGAACCTCTTCACGAATCTTCTGTAATAAGTACAGAGTTCCAGGAAGCTCCGTGGTTGATGAATATCCACAGGACGTTCCCAGTCCTGAACTGCCAACACCTTTTCTGGATCTGTGCGGACACCTTTGGCAGAGATGACGTGCCCGAGATAGGTAACTTCACTGCAGAACAACTTGCATTTCGAAGGACTCAGTTTAAGGTTGGCATCCCTTAATTTCTGGAACACCTTCCTGATATTTTCTAGATGTTCCTCGAAAGTACGGCCCACTATAATGACGTCGTCTAGGTAGACCAGACAGGATTCGTAAGATAGACCACGAAGCATTGTCTCCATCAGGCGTTCAAATGTTGCAAGGGCATTACAGAGTCCAAAAGGCATAACTTTGAACTGCCAGAGTCCTTGACCAGTAGTGAATGCAGTTTTCTCTATATCGTCGGGATGAATTTCCACTTGCCAGTATCCATTCTTGAGGTCCAGAGTGGAAAACCATTTGTGTCCTGATAAGGTGTCTAGACTATCGTCAATCCTGGGAAGAGGGTAACTGTCTTTCTTAGTGACATTATTTAGTCTCCGGTATCCTCTCTAAGCTCCCTGATCTCGCTTTTAATCTTTTCTTGTTCGACTTCCACCTGTTCGAATTTCTCTTCCATCTTTTCTTGAATGGCTTTTATTTCACTCTTGATCTCAGCCCTTATCTCCTCCTGTCCGACTTTCATCTCTTCCTGTCCAGCTTTCATCTCTTTCATTTCAGCTTTCATCTCTTCCTGTCCAGCTTTCATCTCTTCCTGTCTGGCTTTCATCTCTTTCATTTCAGATTTCATCTCTTCCTGTCCAGCTTCCATCTTTTCTTGGAATGCAACAAAGGCAGTCATGAGCTGTCTTAATTGTTCTTCCATCACTCTTTTCACTGGCATTCACTCTCAAACCCCACTCCTGACATCAGTTGTTAAGTTATTTTCTTCCTTCACATTCGTACAGGGTTCTCTGTGCAAGTACAAAATTATATATCTCATATAGTTTTCTGTCTTGTTTAAAATTAGAACTATCTTGGGGTGGGTAATCAATATGATATTAAGATCATGAGTAAAGTAAAATGAAATAGTAGTTAGAAAGGATCTCCATTCCTGCTTTGGGCAGCTATCCCTTGTCGGCTAATAAATTAACCAACCAACCACTGTGGTTTTAATAAATATTTTTAGTGTTCTAAAATTCACAATGCTAGATTTGGAAGGACCAACAGTGTTTTGAAAATACATTTTGAGACAGGTTCTAGATTTTTAAAACATTGTGTTGATTGCATTATTTTAATAATGATAGACATTTTTAAATTGCTACAAAGTTAATAGAACTATGCAGTAACTGGCATTACAAGTGTTACGTTATTTTCTTCCTTCACGTTCGTACAGGGTTCGTAGATTTGGAGTGAATAACGACAACACTTAATGAAGTTTCGAAACACACTTTATTTACCAATATTCTCAGGACAGCTTCAAAATCACTTTTACAGTCGTCGAACTGTTATAACCACGCTGACACATTCATCACAACCTTCACACTGTCAGGCAATAACGGTAGAGACAGCTTCACTGCAAAGCACCAGAGTACAGCTTCCGACTCTGTTTGGTCATTCTCGGAACTTCACGTACTCTCGAGACTCTCCACGTGATGCACTCGACGATACACAAGAGTATAGCTCTCGACTCAGTGCAGTATAGCTAAGACAAAACTCGACGATGCACTAAAAGATTCTCTCGATGCACTCGACGACCAACTCGGTGCTAGACTTCGAGACACTCGCTCAATGACTGACTATCAGCTCGCTAGACGAGACACACACACACTGACTGCAGTCCAGCAGGGTTTATATAGCTTTCGGCTTGTGTTCGAGAACAATCTGGGCTAAACCGGTAAGAATTCTTTCCAGAAGGTTCTCCATCCGTCCATGTTATGTTGCCAATTTTGTCACCCAATGGACGATTTCTCACCAAATGTGGCAACCCTGCCTTTTTCTTGCCATTTTTATGGTAACCCTAAAACTGATTTGCAAGGAAGCTATCTCACTGCGCCTATACATTTCGTAACAAAGATTCATTAAATATTTTACAATGTGCCCTAGGAAATAACTTGTGGACAATTTGTTGCTTGTAAATTATTGCATAAGGGCTTTCACATGTGTTACTTATAAAGCTAATTTGAATTAATAGTGCATTAATGTACTTGCATGTATATATATATATATATATAATGTGTGTGGTAATACCTTCTAGAAAAGACATCTAAGGAACTACTTTAAAGGACAGCACGTTTAATTACATTTAAAGTATTTATATTTTTAACAAATAAGTTAGTTATAAACTGAATTAACTTCTTCAATACATTTTTATTTACATCTTTATCGTCATCGTTCTTTTACTGCATCTTGAGCATCACAAATTCATCTAATTGCTCACAAAATGAAAAATAAAACATTAAAAGTTATACGATGTTAAACAATGTTAACGATCATTAAAAGTTATACGATGTTAACGATGAAACAGTTATACGATCAGCCATCTGTACGCCATCTGGTATTCAACTTTGGTATTCAACTTTGGCATATCATTTATAATGTGTCATTTTTTGTATTGAATTTTTATTACACTGTATGGATTAAATGAATAGTTTGTTCTAGTGATAAAAACTAAAATGTGAATTAAAAATTATTACATTTAAATGTTGTAGAATGGTAAATTTTGCAATTTTAATATTTTTTCTTTTATGTATCTAATTCAAAAGTGGTTCATACAAAATAATATGGTTATGTGCATTTTAATGTAGTATAATATCAGAACTAAATAAATAAATTTGTAATTAATCTTTTTTTTTTTTTTTTTTTTTTTTTTTTTTTTTTTTTGTTTCTTCATAGCTTGCTGCCAATTTCTTGAAAAGCTATGACTTGCCAATAAGACTTGCTGCATCATTTTTATTTGGAGTTGCAGGTGAACGTTTAATAGTAACAAAATCCATCAAACAATTAGCGTTTGATGGATATAGGGATATAATAATATTGCTATCACCTTTGTTGAAGCATGATATACCATTCAAAGATGGATTATTTTCATGGTTATATGGGGTAAGAATACGTTTCAGCAAATCTATTTTTCTAAGTTTAATGTTGATTTTTAAATTTTTATTACAAAGTAGATACAAAAGTTTCCAAATTCACATGGTAAAAAATTCTTCGCTGAAAAATTTCTCTTGCAGATGTGTAGTCACAATACTACAGCGAATGAAATTCTTTTTAGAAAAAATTGTATGCTTTCTTTTTTTTTTTTTTTTACTGAATGAAGTCGTATGCTAATTTATTCTGAACTGTTTAAAATCAAGTATCATTCTGTGATAAAATTTTTGATTAAAAACAGTCTTAATCTCAAAGAAATAAGACAACATTTTCATCTAATATATGGAGATTAGTCTTTCCATATTCTGCAGTGAAAAAATAGGTTAAAAGATTTTGCATTGTTAATGTTTAAATAACTTTTTTGTAATCATGAATTGTAATGAAATTATAGATAGATGTTAAGTGAATTATCACTAAGTCTAAAGTAACAAATGAAATTTCAGAAGGTAGCAAAAGACACTTTATTTAATTGCACACTTTTTGCTTATAACTCAGCCAACCACTTGTGGCATGATAACTTAAATGTAACACAAATATAAAATTTAAATTCAAATAAACTAATAGGATATACAAATCAGTTATATTATACAAATAAATTTAAATTCAAATAAACTAATAGGATATACAAAAAGCCAAAGGATATACAAATCAGTTAATGCAAAGCTGGCTCAACTGGTGTGGAGATCCAAATATCAGCAATTCTCGTCCAAGGCCGAAGACTGTGTATCTTATTTAACAATCTAGTAGCATAGCTGCAAATGGCAAAACACGTTCTGTCTTAAAATCTAAAAACCTCACTATAAATACTTGCAAACTAAATTTGCGTTCTGGCAGGAAAACAAAAGGGCAAAGTGACAGTAAAGATCTAAAATATAAAATAATTGGTTAATTAACATAAAGGAATCATCTTTCCCCTCCAGAATTTAAATAATCACAATGAATGAATCGATCTTAACAACCTTGTTAATATCTTAAATTTTAAACAAAACAAGAGCCTGCTTTTCACAAGCTACTACTTTAACAATCTAAGCTTAAAACTATTTACATTGCAGATGCGTCTCCACAATTCTTCATAATACATTTTAATTTTTATCAGCATCTGCTCCCTCCCGGTCATCTGGAAGAAAATATACATTAGCAAAACATCACATTTTACACAATTTTCTTTTTCAATTCAACTTTATCAGAATTTTTCATAAGCTTTTCAGTTATTCTGCATTTAATTCCCCCTCTGCTCTGTTCTCCAGCAAAATGCACTACATGGAAGAACATATGTTATTGTACAAGTGTTTCAACATTAGCATCTGACTGAAATCCTACATATTAATAACTCAGACACACTAGACTTCAAGATCAATGTAAATTCAAAACTATACCTAATGTTCTAAGCAAAATAGTTCATTAAACTGAAGTGTTGTATGGAGAACCTAACTTTTAATTACTTGCATACTACTAGCTTTTATTTTAACTTGTTTTATTTTGCTAGCTTGCACTTAAACATTTCATTCACATATCAAGAATTCAACTTTTACAAGTATTTAATTTTTCATTAACAGATATTTTAATAGAAATTTTTATATTTATTAAGCTAATCTATCAAACATACTTCATGAATCATTTACAATTCATTTTCATTGCAAAAAAATCTATTCCGTTTACATCGCATATACAGAAGTTGCTTAAAGTTATTCTACAAATATATCAAAATTCCTCTATTCTCAGAATTCCTGCTCTTAGACTAAACTTAAAATCATTGTGATAAATGTATAATTCAATTAAAAACTTTTTGCTACATAACAGAACTGAAATGACCTAGCTGCATAGCACTTGTTGCACTTTTAGACATAAACCAAAATCTGAATACGTGAAGAAATTTAATGTCACTTATCATTTGCTTCACTTGTAGTCACTCATCCATTTGGCGAGAAAATCATTCCACATTGGATAAGGAGTAGCTTGGTGTATCAGTAATCTCCAATGAAACCTTTGTTCACTTTCCCTGTGGTCTGAAAATAAATAGTTTTTAATTAATAACCTAAATAGCTTTTAATTTTCTATTAATTTATGATGTGTTATTTGGGCCATCTTATTTTTTCAGAAAAATGACACTAATGATGGTGTTTATACTGTGTTCACTGGTGAAAATGGGCTTGATAAACTGAATGTAATAAATATGTGGAATGGAAAAGAGTAAGTAGTCACCTATATTATTTGTATATCTCATTGATACATATATTTCCTTTAAATGCAACATTGTTATTTTTATATATTTCTCTTATAGTGAAATCATTTAATATTAGGTGTATGGTATATTTAACATTAAAAAATCATCCTTTTATTATAAATTTATGTCTTTAAATTTATATCTTTTTATTATAAATTTATATCTTTAAAAACAAGCTACAAACCTTCAAGTTAATATTGCAATGACACTAATAAAGTTATTCTTCAAGAAACAAAGAAGAGACCTCAAGAAGCAAGATAACTCAAATGGAATAAATTATGTAGAAGTTCTCTCTCTCTTTCTGACTAAATTATTTTTCCTTCTTATTCTTCACAGACTGAAAGTTTTTTTTTTTTTTTTTTTTTTTTTTTTTCTGAAATTTTGCAATTACAAAATTTCTAACTGGGCACAGTAATTTCAGTTCATATCAGAAGAAATTTGGGCTACCTCAAACGGGCTTGTGTTCCTCTAACATTGGAGGGACTGTCAAATATTAATATTTGTTATTCTACTGTTCAAAGTATACGCTGAGAAAGAAAAATCTAATTTTAGTTAAAGTCTCTAAATGTTAAGTTTATTTCCCCTGTGCATGTGTCTTTTTCAAGACAAAATAGCATTCATTTTTCCTTCTCTATATATTTATTTTGTATGTTTCATCTATGAATTTATAAATTTTATTTTGTTTTGGATTGCTTGTGTGTGTATGTTTTCTTTCCCCCCTTTAAGTCTGTGGTGTACTGCACAGTGCACAATTCTTTAATTTTTTTTTTAAAGTATACATCATCATATTGCATTATATTTATCTAATTGCAATGTATTAATAATATGTAAAAAAATTTTTGTAGTACGTATGTATTCCTATCAACCATGAAATTTGGCAGATATTCTGCCAAAAGTGCTGCAATGATTTTTGTGAAATTTTAAGTCGCATTTTTATCTGCAACTCTTACAATTAAATATTTATCAATTTCTTTTCGCAATCCGCGTAACAGCTATTGCTGCAGAAATATTTGGTTCTCTTGGTTTTTGTGCTCTTAAAAGGGATTTTGTTAATTTCTACTATTGTGTTAGCCTTTTGATTTTACTGAAAGTTCTATTCAACTCTTCTCAGGTAATTGTTCTAATCTGTTACTGTTTTGTCAACCGTATCCAAGTGTTGCTTTTAACATTCAACAGATGAGAGCTGTAAGTGAATGGTTGCAGTTACAAATGATATTCCACAGCCCTCGACCAACATTTCTTTTCAAATCGATATTTTCTTGATGCAGTTTTTCATGTAACATTGCCATTGTTTATCCATGGTATAACCTAACCAAAATGCAAACATTATGGGTGTGCTGTAACATCAATTTTATCCATAACTGGTGCTAAATTGCTCTGCTTGGCAACAGTTTCATGGTTGATGAGATAATACAGAAGTACCATTTTTGCGAATAGACAGTAGTATCATGTTTCTAATTGTAAAATATCATTATGCACTTGCTGATTGTATAAAGAATATTAGATGAGGTTTATAAAAGAGTATTATTTCAACTTCTTTTCTTATTTTGCAGTATATCCTCTTATAGGTTTAACTTTATACCTTTTATAAAGAGATCATGACTTAATATTTCTGGATAAAGCATTTTAAATAAATGTTTCCTGTAAATTTCTTTACTAAGGCTACATAATACAAAATTAATATTTAGTAAAAGTTCATTAGTACTCATTTTAGAATCTCTGTAGCCACGGAGAATAAAATAACTTCAAGTTCTGTATACAGAAGCCCATAAAAAGTCATGTGTTTATCATTGTTAATAAAAATCCTCTTTGTATTTGAAACTTCAGATGAGAACTTTTATGAAATTTGTGAAATGTGTGTTTAAATGTCCTGTAATTACAATTTTGTTTTTAAAATATACCTTTTTAATTTTAAAGTAATACGAGTGTCTCATTATTGTTTTTTTAAATTTGCAGTTCCTTAAATTTTTGGAAAGGAAAATCATGCAACATGTTTAATGGATCTAGTAAGTAAATATTAGTCAGATCTGAATAATGGAATATTGAACATTTCTGTGCTTTGAATGTATTTTTTTATTTAAAATCTTAAGAAATAATGCAAAAGAAGCTTTTGTATACAAGGGAGCAGAGTGTTTATTGTGTCATACCCATTTAGTTATTATGGTATTATGTTCATTCTCTTCAAATATATATTATTGTTATGGTATATTGTTTATAAAACCAGTATTAACTGTTTTCTAGCTACGTCTTGTATCGTTTTTCTTGTGCTCCTTCATTTTACTGTGCTTATTAATTTAGACCTTCATTAGACTCGATAAACATTTTCTTAAAGATTACGTTAATAATTTCTTAAATTTCCTTTTTCTTTTTTAAAGTAATTTTGGCTGATTCTCGCATGAAAGCGGGGGGAGAAAAAGTTATGATTTCTGTGCTTAATTTAACTTCAATGTTGTAATTTATCTAAACTTTTCTGCTTTGTTATGAAGTCATCCTGAAGTCTCTTACATATCATTTCTGTATGAAGTTTCACAAATAATTTTTAAATTATGTAAATTCAATTTGTTAAAAATTTGAAATAATTAAAAGAAAAATATTGAGGGAGAATGAAAATATTTTGTATTATGTACAAAGATAAATTTTAAAAAATTCCTGCATTACTCAAGTTATGTCTTAATTTTTTTTTTATTCAGATGCAGAGATAGGACCTCCTATAGCTCCATATCAAAACAAATATACTTTTTTCCAATCCGTTTTCTGCAGGTATGTTGCTTTAGAATATAGTTATTTTTTTAATTGCAATTATCCAACTCTAAAAATTATTTGTATGTGAAGTACATTGAAATTAAATTATCTGTATAAAAGCAAAATCAAAGTATAACATTCTGGGACAAACATTAACTACCAGTACAGTTAACCTACAGTTATTCCAGTGAGAACAGGTGGAAATGTCCTCAGTGATATTTCTGTTGAACTTGTTTTACAGTTACATTTTTAAATTGTAATGCATTACATTTATCAGCAGTATCTCATGCTTGAGTATTATAGATTCTTTAATACAGAAACCATGCATAAAATTTCAAATTTTAAGATAGTTAAATATAAATCTATTAAGTTGTAGTCAAGAATCTGAAATTATCTTTGATTTTTACATCATTATTGTGAAAGAATTAAGAATTCTGTGTATAATAGCTGCTTGGTAGCAGTTTCAATATACTGAATAGGTACTAGGTAGCAATTTTAAATAGACTGTATTTTCATCATTTGGTATATATCAGGGGTTCTCAATCAGTGGTACGTTTACTGCTGGTAGTACAGAAGAGAAAAATAGGTGGTACGCAAAGAAGTAAAGTATTTTTAACTATTAAATTCAAAAATTAAAACCCCAACATCCTGATTGAGGTTTTTCTCCAACACTCGTAAATTCTGCGATCTAAGCTTTATTTAAGGTCAATACCTGCTTATAGACTTTAGCAAGAGGCAAACGATCTGTCTGCATGGTAGTTGTCATGGTCCTTCCATATTGTACATTTTACAAATATTCTTTTAACAATAGACATGACAAAATTTGCCATAAATGATGTTTCTAAAAGGCGTGATAGAAATGGATGCTGTATGTAATAGGAAATAAAAATAAGTTCCTATAAAAAAGATAATTGTATTTCATTAATTCTTTTAGAGTTCATTGTTTTATTAGCATGTCAGCATTTTTATATGTCACCATTTCTGGGCTCATATTGCTCCATTTTCAATGTGAATTATTTTTTACGCCGGTTTGCTGTCTTTAACAGTAAGTATTTTGTCTTCTTGTTGCTTTGTATTTCTTACTTTTCTATGCGATTTGAGAATATCGTTGTCTGTTTTTGAAGAACTTTTAATATATTGTGCATTTAAATATTTGTGAAAAATAATAACACAAACCTAGATTTTCAAAATGGAAAAATGGCTAGGATTGACTAAGCGGGAAAAGTGACGATTCCCAGGTGATGTATTCAGGATAATCTAGTAGCACTGAGAATATTAAAAAGAAAAGAAAAATGTTTCTAGAAAATATAATGAAAGTTATTTATCATTTGGATTTACTTGAAATGGAGGTGAAATGGACCCTCAACCTCAATGTGTTTGTGTTGAATTATTATCCAATCAAATATGAAAGCATTGTCTCTTGAAAGATATCTTGAATCTAAGCATACCAATTTAAAGGGTAAATCTGACGACTATAAAAAAATAAAATCTGAAAGGTTTCAGATTTTAAATTATGCCTAAAGGGATACTTTTTTAACCTTTTGTCTGTTACCTTTGTTTATTAAATATCATGTTCTTTGCACTTAAACCATAAAATTTAATTCAACAGCAATATCACAGAATAATTTTAAAATGAGCATATCTTTAGAATTTCCGATACACAGTCTCACGCACTGGAGGTAAAAACCTTGTTTTTTTCTGTACAGTTTTGCCATTGCTCGCTTTGAAATCGTTGAGGTTGTTAATCAAAAAATTGTTGTAAATTTAGTTTCAGGCGTGATTTGATTTGAGAAATCTCTTCAGAATGTTTTCCTGTTAAAGCCCGAGCTCCGTCGCTGCATATGGCAATGTACTTATTCCAAGGGCATCCTCAGACATAAAATTGTCGATTACTTTAAAAATTTCACTTGCAGTTGCTCTATCATGAAGAGATTCACAAAATAAATACACTTCAGCAATTCGTATAGCTTCTTCAATACGTATGTAAACTAATAATTGAACAAAGTTCATTATAACAGTACTTTCATCCATTTGGAATGCAAAATGCTCACAGTGTTTTATTTTTTGAATAAGGGTCTCTTTTATGGAATTTGTCATTTCATGAATTTGTCGACTTACTGTATCATTTGATAATGGAATATTATTAAGTTCATTAGCCTCTTTTTAATTGAATAATGTTAAAGCAATATCTAGTTGCAAGAAATTATCGGAGTTCAAAAATACTAGACAAGTAATGAAAGGTTTTGTTACTTCAAGTGAAAAAAGCTTTGGAAGCTGGTTACCTGGTAAGTCTAAGAATTGCTAAGACTGGACAGGCTCACACTATTGGAGAAAACCTTATATTACCAGCAGCTAAAGATATCATTTTAACATTATTCAATGAAAAAGAGGCTACAACTTATTAATATTCTGTTATCAAATCATACAGTAAGTCAACGAATTCATGAAATGACAAATTCCATAAAAGAGGCACTTATTCAAAAAATAAAAACTGTGAGCATTTTGCATTCCATTTGGATGAAAGTACTTATATAACGAACTTTGTTCGATTAATGGTTTACATATGTTTCGAAGAAGCTATACGAATTGTTGAAGAGTATTTATTTTGTGAATCTTCATGATAGAGCAACTGCAAGTGAAATTTTTAAAGTAATTGACAATTTTATGCCCTTGGAATAAGTGCATTGCCGTATGCAGTGAAGGAGCTCGGGCTTTAACAGGAAAACATGCTAGAGAGATTTCTGAAATAAAATTGCACCTAAACTAAATTTACAACAAATTTTTGTTTAACAACCTCAACGATTTCATAGCGAGCAATAGCAAAACTGTACAGAAAAAAAACAATGATTTTTATCTCCAGCATGCGAGACTATGTATCAGAAATTCTAAAGATATGCTAATTTTAAAATTATTTTTTGCGATATTGCTGTTGAATTTAATTATATGATTTCAGTGCGAAGAACATGATATTTAATAAACAAAGGTAACACACAAAAGGTTAAAAAAGCATCCCTTTGAGTGTAATTTAAAATCTGAAAGCTTTCAGATTTTATTTTTTCCCCTTTCTTCTGAGGCTCACAAACATGCCTTTTTGAACCTCGAAATGCTTGAAATCACTGGAATTGTACATCAGCCAAAGCAGAAAGCTTATTTTTCTCTCTACTTTTTGCTATGGGGTCTGAATTTCTGTCTTGAAAGCAATCATAAAGTTTTCTTTCTGTCCAGTTCTTGCTAAGCTTTCAAGTTTTATTATTATTATTGTTTTTTAATATTTCTATTGAGAAATTGAAAAATAATCATTGTAAAATGTAGGGGTGGTACTACAGGTTTTCAATTTTTGTTTAGATGGTATGCGTTAGTGAAAAGGTTGAGAACCGCTGGTATAGATTAATATCTTGTATATTCTTAATGAGGCTACCATCAGTACAACCCATCGTGTAGTCAAAACTTGTACTTGATGTAAGAATGTGATGTTATCATTTTAGGTTGGTTGTATAATTTTTTTTTAATTATTTCTTTTTTGGGTGTTGTATGTGTTAAAAGTTATTTAAATTAAACATATTCCAGGTCAGTTGAATTATCAGAAATTATTCTGGGTCAGAAATTAGAGTGTAGAAAAAATTTTGAATAACCAAAAATTCAAATTTGTAAAACTGTTGCATATTATATAAAATATGTATACGATACAAAGTCCATAATCTGGACGTTCATTATCCGGAATGATCTATAATCCGGACCTCAAAGCCACAAACTTTTTTTTCCTTTGTATGCTTTACACATGCGCGTTTAATGTATGACGGATGGTATAAGCTGGGCTAAAATTATCTTTAATGATTCTAAGGCATTTCAGTTAATGTTGCAGATTGCACTGTTCCTTAATCTTCTAATTGGATCCGGCTTATTATTTTTTGCAGACTGTTGGAGCAATTTTATAAAAATTAAGCTTGAACTTTCGATTATGTCAAAAAGAGTTTCCAATTTGGGAGCTGCCAGAGGATCTACAAAGCGAAAGCATGTTTCGACAAAAGGTGGAATCAAACAAAAGGTGGAATTGCTGCAAAAAAATGGATAAAGGCATATCCGTCTCAAAATTATGCGAAGAGTATGACATTGGAAAGTCAACTGTATTAGACATAAGCAAAAAGAAAAAGGAACTTTTTGAATTTTTTGTGGATTCTGACATCCCACTTGCAATGAATAACAGAAAAAAGGGTTTGTGAAATGATGATTGAATGGGTCAGACAGCATCGCAGCGAGGGCGTGCCATTGGCGTGTCCAATACTAATGGCTCAAACCAAAATATTTCATGAAGAAATGAACTTAAACACTGAGTGCACATATTCGACAGGTTGGTTAACCAAATTTAAAAATTGCCATGGTATAAGACAATTAAAAATTTCAGGTGAAAAAGCTTCAGCTGATACTGAAGCTGCTGAACAATTTGCAGATGAATTCATTGAACTCATTATTAGTGAACAAATGTCTCCTGAACAAGTTTACAATGCTGATGAAACTGGTCTTTTCTGGCAATATGTACTGTGAAATACTTTGGCAACCTCTACAGAAAAAGGCTCCAACTGGTATTAGAGATTCCAAAACGATACTAACAATTTTAGCATGCATGCAGGAACGCACAAATGCTGCAGGAACGCACAAGTGCAAACTTTTTGTAATCCAAAAACATGCGCAACCTCGAGCATTTAAAGGAGTAACGATTTTCCCCGTTATATATCGTGCAAATAAAAGAGCATGGATGACGCAAGCATTGATGAATGATTTTTTTAAATCATTTTATACCCGAGGCTCGGCGACATTTGAATTCGGTTGGTTTACCTGATGACTCAAAAATAGTCCTGATTGTTGACAACTGTTCGGCGCATACTTCACTTAAAGTTTTAGTGAAATATAATGTATCCATATTATTCTTCTCTCCAAATTGTACATCTATCATTCAGCCTATGGATATGGGAATAATGCACGCGCTGAAATGCAAATATAAAGTAGTATTTTTAAAATCTATGTTAAATTTCTTACACAATAGAAAGACTATTCAAGACTTTTTGAAATTTTTTAGATATAAAATCTGCTGTGTGCAGCATCACAAGATCGTGGGAGAATGTGTCTCTAGATACGTTAAAAGTGCTTGGCATAATTTATGGCCAGCTACCATATTTCATCGTGAGGACAGTTAAGATGTTAGCCGTGTTTTTGAAGGTTTTCAGACATTGCAAACTAAAGGTGAAATTTTCAAGTTATTGGATTTTATAAAGAAATGTGGAGAAGCGGTAATAAATGAAGATGATATAACAGAAGTTTTTCATTGCGACAACAATGCTTCAATCATCAATCAATTAACGGACGGTAAAATCTGTAGTATGGTTCTAGATACAGAAACTACTGCTTCCGATAGTGAAGAAAGTGACAGAGGTTATTGAAAAGAAAAAAGTTTTGATTGATAAGTTAGTCGGTATTCTCAACACAGCAATTACAGCACTTGAACAGTGGAACTTTGTAACTCAACAAGAAATTATGACTGTTTATAGAATTAAAGAGAAAGTATTAGCACAAAATACGAAGCAACTTAAACAACTTGCATTGAAAGAAATGTTTAACAAAGTAAACAAATAAATATTAGCTTTTTTTGTAAAGTTTGATACCCTTTAGATCATAATTATTCTTTATTTTATAAATTACAGTTTAATATTTTTAATTGTATAATTTCTGCATGCCATCTTACCAGATTTAAATTGATGATCTATAATCCAGAAAAACCCCTAATCCGGAATCGCCGAAGTCCCGACGAGTCTATATACGGACTTTGTACTGTTATATATATATATATATATATATATATGCGCAATTTAATATATATGTATATATAAATTTAGATATGCATATAAATGTTTTAACAAAGCAAGATAAATACCATTGTGTGTACCAGTGATAAAAATTATTTTGATGTAAAAGAAATTTTAGAACATAAAAAATTGTTACTTTTTTAATTATTTGCTGGAGAAATGCTGTGGCATAAATCTTGTGAGAATTAGATGACATACATTCACCTAAAAGTATTAATGGAATTTTTTTTTTTCCCCTTTTTCACTACCAAAAATTTTATATGAGGGCATTAATGTAAAGATACTTTACAAAAATATTTTTAAAATATCATTTAATTGGTTAAAAAATAAATTAGAATTTTAGTTTTCAAGTACAGTTGCTTATAAGGGTTACTAAATGACCCAGGAAATCATTGGAATAATAAAACTGCTCTGCATACAAAGATTCTGCATAGGAAGCACAAGACTTTATTTCTGTGGTGTGGTAGATCTGATTTCAACTATTTAAGAAAGAACAAAATAATTTCTGTATAATTTGGGAAGTTTTAGTTGTAAAATATTTTACATTAAAAGAATTTCATTATATCAAGAAAAGTTACTGTACTAATCATTTAGAGAAGGATAAGAACTATAACAGCAATTTAATTGCTCTGAAAGTTTATATTCTTGATGCAGGCCAGTTAACATGTTGAGCCCGGTGATGAATTTGCTGTCCTTTCTGTTCAGCCGTTTGGCATCGGACACGGAAATTCCAGTGCCGGCCTCCAGGGACCCATGCCGGCCAAACGAAAACTCCAGTGCCGGCCACACAGAAAGTTCAGGGACTCGCGCCGGGTTCAACATGTTAACTGATATTGACTGCACATATTTACATATAACTGTAGAGATTTTAATTCTGAAATGATCAACTTTAAATTGTGGTAAAAAATTGAGACCAAGGTATAACTTGATGGATCTTGGTGAATTTTTTCTCTCAAAGTAGTAGCATTTAAAGTGGCCGGAAAATGCTAAATTTTTAGAAGTTCCTGAAAAACACATTTATGAAGTTCTAAAAATAATTTTTGATGAAGCTTCCAGAAGGCTGGAAAGTTTAATAGCTATGTTAAAGTCAAGAGTCAGTTACTGCAAAATTCTACGTTTATTTAGTTATTAGGCTTTGTATTAGAGTTACTTTGTGAATAATATCAGGGATCTGTGATATTCTTCATATTTTTAGAAGAATTTGAGTGATCTCTGCTGTTATCATCCCATTTTTTCTTGTTTATCTATCAGAGTTATTACCGAAATCTCCGTGGCAATGCCAATGGCTGAGGGGTTAAAGACTGCTGAATGTTAAGAGTTAGTCATGAATTGAATGTGCTGGCTGCATGGCTGGTTTTTGTGAGGTTCCCCCATGTATAACTTGAATATTAATCAGTTTCTCTAATAAAATCCCCCACAAAAATATCTTTCCCTGTATACAGATGGCCCTCATTTGCTTTGCCATATTCAAATAACCAGCTAAAAAGATATCCATGAACTTTTAGTTAGTGACAATATGGAAAAGGTGTTTTAAGCTGTTAAAAATATGATAATGATAATATTTTTAAGTAACTGTAAATGTGTAGCGTTTCTTGTTTGGGTAGGTGGTAGGTTTGACATTGGTTTATGATAATTCACTTTAATACTTTTGAAGGAAAATCCAAATGTGATATGCTACGATCCATTAACCAACTAATCTTATTCTTGAGTATGTTATTATATCTTGTTATTGAAGAGCATTTAATTAAAAGTATGTAACCAATGATCTAAATGGAAAATTCATTGTAATTATTTTATCCATAGTATTTTGAAGTAGTATTATGAATATATCACCAACTACCGTATTTTCTAGGTCCATCACTTTAGATTATATGTGGGATGTTGAACATTTAGGAGTTATTTCAAGAAGGTTCATGACTACAAATATGACATTTGCAAATGGAACACAAAACCCTGCTAATGCTTGCTTTGGTACTGAAATGAAACTTGCATCTGGTGCTCAAGATATTAGCAGTTGTCAGTATGGTAAGTATTTTATCTAAATTAAATAATAAAAAAAAACTTGCTTGTATTTTCTGATTGTACATGAAACTTTAAAATATTATCTATATAAATTAATACATGTTAATTTTTGTGCATACATGTGTTAACAGTTCATTCATTTCACTCTCTGTTACTTGGGTTAAAATTTTGTACTGGTTTTCTCAGTTTGAAGTCAGAAAAAAATGATAACCAAAAAGACACACTGGAATTTCATAAAACAAATTACTGTAAGTTTTAATGGCAATAAGAAATATTTTATACTAGAAACTTCTTTCATTTCAAAGTTAATATGTAGAGAGATCTAACTGTAAATGAGATATCAGAATATTATGGAAGAGATTGCTTTAATATTGAGTGAAATCGGCCCAGTATTGATAATGGAATACTGATAATTGTAGAAGACACTTACTAAATTTTGATTTGTTATGAATATATTCTCACTTATTAATGTAAAGTGTGTGCTTCAGTTTGTCAGCATGTGATCCTATGGCAAGATATACACAAATCATTTCAAAGGTTTACCAATTTATTTAAATTTCATCATATTTAATACAGTTGATACATGTATGTAGAAAATGGAAGCAAAATTTTAAAATGCATTTAAATTTGAAATTTGTATTATATACTTGTATGTCTTAGTACTCCTTGTGATGCTTTTCCAATGCTCATAGGAAAGCATTCTGTTAGACCATCTCATACCTAAAACTGTTATTTCCATTAGCCAATATCAGTATTTTGAATTTTGTCACAGGAAATAACTAAAGCTGTAAATAAGTGGTAATTTGCATTAGGTTCTATTCTTGATGGTTTTATGGATTGGCCATATGTGTTTTTCCTTGTATTGGTCATATGTGGTTCTATGGATTTTCCATATGTGGTTGTGTGTAATGTTAATACAAGCATAGTTTGCTTGGAATGTCCTTCATAAAGGCATCCTACTCCAGAGGCAAATAATTTTAGTGTGTTTTGCCACAGTCATTAAAAGCATATTTATTTGAATCAATGGAATGGATCCATTTCAGTTAACACTTCTTTTCCCATTGTCAGGCTCACTTTCATAAAAATAGAAATATGACATGTTTGTCTGCATTTTTAACAATAGAGTTAATTTTAAGTAGATATAAATAAAAAAAAAAAAACTTTAACATCTTTGTTTAAAATTTTTTTACCAACTATAATCTTTTAAGTTGTAAATTTTCCAATGACCAATTTACTATGTATACATATTCAATGATGTTTTTTAATGCCATTAAGTAAAGTAATTAAGTAATACTTTAGAAAGAAAAGATCCTGAGTACCGAAGGCATTTTAAAATTATAATTTAATTGAGAATTTTGAAGTTTTTGAGCCAAGCCCTTGTCTATTTCTATGGTTAAACCGTTGTCTAATATATGCAGTTGAGAGGATATGTAACAAAAAGTAACAGTTTTGTAATTTAAATGTGAGAGTATTTGCAAAAAAAGTGTATTTCATAAAACCAGGATAAAAAATAATATCCTAAAAATAATATGTTTTGAGTTTTAGCAGTCTTTTCAAATACAGTTGACATCAGTATTAGTCTGCTGATGCATTTCATCATAAAATTGAAAAAATTCGGTAGAAATTACTACTGGAGCTTTTTAAATCCATTGATGTAAAAAAATGCTAAAAAAGCATCTTCTAGACATAGTTTACATTCCATCTTTGCATGCAATATATTGTGATTATTTATATTGTCAAATATATGCATAACCTAAGGAAAAAGCTATTTAGAATGTCTTCCCCAAAGGCATCCCTCCTCTTTGGCAGATAGCCCTTGTGTTGTTTGCCATAATCAAATAAATCAAACCAAACTATTTCAAATACATGCAAAATCTTTGTCAGAAGATCTTTTGGTAGTTATCAGATTGGTAGTTTGGTTAATAATGATTAATTTTTTGCTTCAGACACTACTATGAACTGTTTAGCAAGCAATATTGTAAGACCTCTATGATAATGTCTAGACCTTCATTTTTTTAGTCTTTTTAATGTGTTTACATATTCAATCTATCTGTTCACTTGTGTGACATAAGTGAGAAATATACAAATTATTAGCCATCTAATACACAGATTTATTTAATCTTTCCTCCAAGAGAAAATGTTAATAAATTTGGATTACTATATGTTTGTGCAATAATTGTGAATCTGAACCTTTAGAATATGGAATCTGAGCTTTAAATACATTCCATAGGGACGCAGCATTAATTATCTTCTTCTATTTGATTACCTGTGGGCTTTCTTGCTGTAGCTATTAAACAATGGTGTAGCTAGAATATTTGGGCCATTAGGCAAAACGTAAAATAAGTATATATATGTGTATATATAATTACAATGATATTAGCTTACTAGATAGATAGCAATACTAGCACAGATAATTCAAAGTTGAAAATCTGTTTGAGTCAAATAACTGAGCTTTATTTAATGATTTTAAGCAATTCAAGATTATTTTAATAATAAACAAAATTTATAAACAGAAAATCACACAGAAACAGAGGTAACTGGCCTTTAAAAAAATGAATACTAATCAAGTTATATTCGCAATAATAAATGGATTTATGAAAGACAATATTAGAGCAGCCCTTTGCTTGCATTTATTCAGGCAGCACTGGAATTGACAACAAACAAGATAAGCTGCTGTAGCATTCAGTTTTATTTCTAATTTTTATATTATTTGAATAAAACTCTTTTTATAATTTATAACATAATTTATTCACAAAATTTAAAATTAAATCTCTACACATAAAATATCAAAGATAGATTCGGCAATAAAGTTATAAATTTATTATTACTTTCTGAATATTCAAAACTCAAAAAGTAATGAGTCCTTAGGGATTGCCTGATCTTCCATATCGATAACTACACTACTGTTATATCTCCATTGCCATTCATTTAGCACATAATGTTTCAAAGTCATTCTTAGAAAATTTTTATATCTAATATAAATTTTATGCAATCTGGACTAATTTTTGTTCTGCCTTAGCTTTCTGATTACATGACATACTTAATCAGAAAAATTATTTTTTGTGAAATAATAATAGTATAAATCATAAGCCTGCTTAAAAAAATATATATTGTGTAATAAAATTAGTTTTAGTTCAGCACAAAAGAGTCCTGTAATATATTTTTTCCTCTGGTGTAATGAATTTAAGACTGTTTGAAGAATTGAAGTTATAAAATTTCATAATGTTAACTTTTTGTAAACATGTATTGAAATGTTCCTGCTATGTAATTTTTATAGATAAACCTTTTTTTATTTAGGAGCTCCTGTAGTTCTTTCCTTTCCTCATTTTTATTTCGCTGATCCTTCATATTTAAAAGGTGTTGATGGACTTCGTCCTAATTCTTCCTTGCATAGTTTCCATATTGATGTTGAACCAGTAAGTTAAAAAAATAGTCATTTATTGTTTTCTAAAAATTATACTTTTTGTTAGAGGCCCTAAAAAGTAATTTTCAAAATAAACCAACTCTTCTGATTTTAGTGAAGACAACCGAATTTTGACTGCATTTCTGCCAACTTGATTTACATTTTTTTTTCATATTCTTATAATTTCATACAATTTTATGTAGCTTCATATATTATTTTATTATTTGTACCCAAAACCTTAATTTTTGGTGCCTAGACTTGTTTGATTTTCCTGTAGATAAAAGTAAAACCATTTCCTCAGTGAGATATTACAGTACAAAGTCCGTAATCCGGACATCCATTATCCGGAATGATCTATAATCCAGACCTTAAGGCCACAAACTTTTTTTTTTTTTTTTTGTATTCTTTATGCATGTGCATAATGTGCTTACGCATGTGCATTAATGTGTTTGCGCATGTGCGTTAATGCGCATTGGGAGGATGTGTCTCCAGATACGTGATGAAGACGATAGTCACGAATTTGAAGTTTTCAGACATCGCAAACTAAAGGTGAAATTTTGCAGTTATTGGATTTTGTAAAGAAATGTGGAAAAGCGGTAATAAATGAAGATGATATAACAGATGTTTTTCATTGTTATGACAATGCCCCAATCATCAATCAATTAACTGATGGCGAAATCTGTAGTATGGTTCTAGATCCAGAAAATAGTGCTTCTCATAGTGAAGAAAGTGACAGAGAGGTTATTATTGAAATGAAAAAATTTTGATTGACAAGTTAGTCGGTATTCTCGACACAGCAATTACAGGACTGAGTGGAACTTTGTAACTGAACAAGAAATTATGTCTGTTTATAGAATTAAAGAGAAAGTATTTGCGCAAAAAACAAAGCAACTTAAACGACTTACAGTGAAAGAAATGTTTAATAAAGTAAACAAATAAATATTAAACTTTTTTTTTTTTTTTTTTTTTTTTTTTTTTTTTTTTTTTTGTTTTTGTGAATTTTGATACCCTTTTTAGATCATAACTGCTCTTTATTTCATAAATTACGGTTTCATATTTTTGACTGTATAATTTCTGCGTGCCATCTTATCAGATTTAAATTGATGATCTATAATCCGGAATCGCCGAAGTCCCGACGAGTCCGGATTACGGACTTTGTACTGTATGAGTGTGCAACTCCCATGCATGTGAAAGCAGATATGTTTGAAAGGTTACATTCTAGTTTTCTAGTGAGCACTAGGTGACATTGCTGGTCATTTCATACATGTTAATTAACATGAAATAAATGAAACTGTTCTTTGCATTTTCTTTCCTAACTGGCATGCTTTTCACGAGTTTTGAGAAATAATTAGGCATTTTCCTCCTTTGTCTTAGTTATATCTGAAAGAAATAAAATTCGTGTGTACGTTTCCAAAAGCTTCGTAAGATATTCCATGTACTATTCCACCTAGAAATTGCACAGCAAATTTGCTATGTGCATCATTTATAATTGAGAGTCTAATAGCACAGTGGAAAGGCTGATATTTAGAAATGTATAATATGTATTTGCCTATGAACACTTGAACACGTATGTAACGTTTTGGGCCTATTTAGTAATTGATATGAAAAACATTACCATGCTTGCTTTTTTTAAACAAAGCAAATGTGTCATTTTTGTTAGCAGTTATAGAAAAACTGATTGTTTTTCTATTAAAAAGTAAAAGTAATAAAACATTTTTATATATAATTTTGTATTTTTTGTGTTTAAGATGTAGTGACTGTATTTTCAGGCATTTAAAACATTACATTTCTCTCTGTATATTTTTACCATTTAAAATTATTATTTTGTTAAAAAAAATTCTCTTGATATCTTTAAAAAAATCACCTGATTTTTGGATTTAGAAGGTTCTCTCCTCTAAATATGAATTTTGATCTAGTAGCACATTTATGTGCTGAAAATAGGCCGGAAAACTTTTAATTTCACTGATTAAATTAATTCTGCCTTAAGAGGTGTATTCCAGTAAATGTCTTAAGTTGGATTAGTAACTTGGAACCCTGTTTAACAGTACATATATAGTGATCATATAATAAATAATGATGACAGCAGTAATAACAAAGAAGGAAAGGTTCCGTAGACGCAGTGTAAACCAGTTTGCTATTATGCTGCTGGAAAGAGGAGGAAAAATTCGCCAAGGAATTTGATGACAGAACCTGGTGGCGAGAATTTTCCCTTTCGCGATGTGTACAAGAAATTGAAAAGCACATGTTAAGAAGAAACATTCTTTGACCTTTCACAATAATTTAAACTCAAATTTTCCTATCTTTTTTTTTTACTCAAAATAACTATTCATTAATTAATTTACTTGTGCGAAAAATATTTTCTTTTCCTTTACGGTTTAAAGAAATTTAAATCTATATTCATTTTATGAACTCTTGATAAACATGGCCTTCAAACTTTGACGGCGGCTTTGAGCTTTGGTGACAGATATTTCGCGCATGCACAGCTGTTTCCCTCTAGGTTGGGATGGAGCCACTCCTGTTGCAGAGAAGTTTTCGTTCTTAACATGGTAATAATACAATGGTGGCTCATTTATTACAGTAATATTGCACAGAAATAATTCTACCTCTATACTATAAAAAGTTAGAGAAATATTGTGTTATTTCTTATAATTGAAATAAAGAGAACATAAAAATAAATTTATACAAAATGTTTAGAAAGATTTTAGAAGAAATAATATTGAGAAATATTGGATTAATTCTAATCAATTGTATCAATGGCTTATTTTCTGGAAGGGGTATTTTTGTGGTAAAAGCTAGACTAATGTTATTTGGAAGATCATACTAGAGATGATTTTTTAGAATGAGGATTTAATTCTATTATAGAAGAAGGACTTTGGGTTCATCGTTGTGATAGATTTAAAGTTTGATTCTTTTGCTTACCTCATGTGAAAGAGATTATTTTCTATAATATAATTCTAGAATTATAAATTATTCTTACAAAGAATCATGAGAACTTATTTATAAAGTACTGAATGGTGTAATTGGAATTGTCTCTAACCTAGGCACAGTGTGGGTTGTATGAATTAATATTTTCTTTAAAGAATTGTGCAGCAGTAAATTTAATATTATTTTGATTGTTTGTTTTGGTAAGGATGATTGAATTCTAATAAATTTCTGATAGTTTCCGGTTTGATAGTTTAGTAAAAAATGGCAAGTAACTGTCGTTCTTCAATTTGAAAATAGAATGTAAAAAATATTAATTAAATTATTTATTTATTTTTAAATTATTTAAATTGAAATTAAATTATTTATTTTATTTTTGTGCAAGAAAAAAAATCTGTATAATGTAAAGTTAGAAGTCTGGAATATAATTGGATATGTTTCTGGTATTTACCATTAATTGCATAATTGTTTGACATTTACTATATGGAATACTTGCCTATATTGAGCATCTCCATATGGCTACATATCATATTTACTCAAAAGTAAAACTTTTTTTTCCCTGTATTTCTGCTCTGAAATTTGGTAGGATTATAAAATTGGGTATTTTAATGAATGAAAATGCAGATGGAGAATTAGTTTAATTAACATACTAGACAGAATAATAACACTGTTTAAACTCTAAAAAAATTGCACAGGTAATTAGTGTTTATGTAAACTGCATAGTTACTACTGACTGTAATTGTCACATCTAGTTGAGCAGTTTCAATTAAGCCTGCATTCACTATAATGATATGCCAGAGAATAAATAAGTAATGGTGTATCATTAATTTTTCCTTCCTGTACCATAATTAAATATTGTATTTAATTAGGTAGATTGCCATTCATTCAAAGAAGAATCATTTTTTCATCAAATATTCACCTACCTTTTTATTTCTTCAAATTTATACTTATAATGTGTCTTATTTTCAAGTAAATGCAGTTTTCACAATGTGATAAAAAAATTGCATAAATGATATATTAATTCTAAAAATGTAGTTTTAGTGTGTATCTTAATTTTTAATCTGTTTTTTCATTCTTTTTAAAGAACACTGGCTTTAGTATTGATGCTGCAGTTAGATTTCAAGTCAATTTAAATGTTCAAAGGATATCTGGAATATCGTAAGTTGTTTACTTTAAAAATTTTATATAACTGCCAGAATTGTTTATGTATCTTAAATTCCTCTATAATGGTTCCTCTATAATGGTTACTTAATAGGTTAAATGAAAAATATTGATACTTTCATTTGTTATTACTATAACATGTGATGTATTTTGCCTGTTTTTTTATTTAATTATAATATATTATATATCACTATTATGCATACTGTATATCACTTTATTACTATATATAATATATCAGAGCTTAAATATGAATGTAAAAGTAATGCATTATATCGAGGAGTTAGAATTTTGCACTGTTTTTAAACTTTGATAAATAGCATCTCCCTATTTTGTATAAATTTTGCTTTTAAAGAAGAAAAAAATTTGCTTGCAATATTAGTGTTAGTTATTTGCTCTAGTATTGGTACATGGGTAATAAATAGCAGTCTGTTGCTAATATAAGAAAATTAATGCGGTTATTGCTGTTGAAATGCATGTACTTCTAACAATAAATTTGTTACAGTTTTTCAAAAATTATTTCATGGACTCTGAAGTATTTCAGTTATTAAGAAATTTTATATATAAGATGATAAATGAATTTAAGAGTTAAGGTAAAACATTGAAACAGAAATAATCTAGCAAAAAATTTGTATTTTTAGCTTTTTCATTTAATTTACAAGCATTAAAAAGTAATTACAAAGCCAAATAACATGGAACTGACAAAAACTGATTATTCACTGTAAACTTTGAATACAGTGCATCCTCAGTTCATGGACAGGCTGCTAACCGATCGAGATGTTCATAAACCAAAACAATTGCCCTCTAGAAATTAATGTAAAATGGAGTAATTTGTTCCTGGACCACAGATGATTTCTTCCTTAAATTTTACAACAGTACTATGTGCATAAATTAATAACCCAATACTGACAGAAATTATCAAATATTTTGTTTTAATACAAGGTAAAACATAATATTAAACAGCTAACAGCTACAATAGATGAAAATTTAATTTTGTTGTACTTGTACAAAAAAGACAGCGTACATAGCATATGATGAGAAAGATTGCGTTTGGATGTGAAAATTTCATTCCATAAAATATCAAGTAACTGTGTTTTAATGCGCATCTTTTGTCTTTTCTAGAAGTGTTATTCAACTCTGTATGAGACTCACTGGGCCTTGGTTATACTCAAAATTTGTCTGATGTGATTTCTTGCTGCCTACATTTTAAAAAGTTTTTAAAGTAGATGTGACATTGTTATATAAAAAGCTTATGCTGTAGTTTACTACTCTTTTATTCAGGATGCTATCTTTATGTGAAGACTTTGCATCTTACACCATTTTGCACAAATTTTGTGGATTAGAGAAAAAGGATTATTTTTCTTCCTTTTTCTTTTTCTGAAGGCATTTCTTCCAAAATCGCCTTCCATTGCTGCTTCTAAAGTTGCTGTTGTTTTATGGTTCTCTAGTAACTTTACCGTGTCTTCATTATTAACCTCTTAGCCCATGGTTTTGCCTACAGACTCAGTATCCTAGATAGCAAAACTGTTCTACATGTCAAAATCTTCAGATAGTGCCTGCAACTCAGTCCAAATAAAATTTCCTTCAAGATGAAGTCCTGGTCTTGTAAGTTGGTCTCAAACTCGTAGACCACATGCGGCCCTTGAAGCAGTTTTATGCAATTATGAATTTATGGCAGATACAGTGTTTAAAGTTTTAGAGACATAAAGATTGGACTGAGCTTATATGTGCTACTGCTATTGAAAGAAATAAGGTTGAATGAATGGCTTGGAAACTTCACTGATTACTTGTGTGCTAGGCCACGTGACTAAGGTACAGTGAAAGAATTTTTCATGTTGGTACAGTGAATAAATTTAGTTGCTAGCCAACAGCTGGTAGTGCTTCAATATTCAGAAAGTTCTGGTTTTCCAATTAATTGTATTTAAGGTTTAAGTTATTTAGTGGTTAATTCAATAAATTGGAACCTGAGTCTAAAATTTAATATTTAGCTCTTAGTATGTAATTAGCACATGTGTAGAAATTTCTTGCCTTTAGACTTTCAGATAAAAAATAAATATAAATGTGGATTTTTCCTTTTGTGTTGTTGTTATTGTAGTTTATGCATGTTTTGATAAATACTTAGGAAGTGAAGTTTAGGGTTTAGTGTGCATTTTTTTTTTTTTTTTTTTTTTTTTTTTTTTTTTTTTAAATTGTTTTTGAATTTTGGTTAAAAAATATTTTAGCACACAAGCTTTTAGCTTGTGCATTTGTCTCACAAGTAGTTTGAGTCACTTGCTTCCTTAATGAGAGTTAAGCAGTTGAAAATATTAAAATGTTGTTTCCAAAAGGCTCTGATTATTAAATATGTGGCATAGGTTCTCTCAAATCGCCTTTGAAAATCATATGTTGCCAATTTGTGTGTTTACGACTCAAAACACCATTTGTCATCCAAACTGTTTTTTGTTCAGATAATTTGTTTGTGATCCAAGCTTCCACTGTAATTGTTCTAAAGCTTCAAAGGCCTAGGTTCTTTAGTATTAATTTTCTTTGAAATTAAGTTATTGATATGTAAAACTAAAGGTTAGAAATAAATGATGGCATTTTTGCTTCAGTCCAATTCCTGTTTTGAATCAATCTTATATTTTAGAACATGCATATTATTTAAAATTTTAAACTTTGCTTTTGTATAGGTAATTTTTTTAAAGCAGTGAGCTATGCATTACATTATTTCAATGTTTCTGCAATTACAATTTAATTGAGTGCTTATGATTAAATTTCTAATTATGCATCTTCAGTGTATATTTTTATTTTGCAGTCAACTCTCAAATGTTCGACAAGTTATGTTTCCTGTATTTTGGGCTGAAATTGTAAGTGCTAACATTTTACTAATATTTTTAGCTATTCTTAGTTTTTTTTATACATGCATGTTTTCTTTGTGAGAAGGTTTAAATTTTTGTGTTGGAATTTAAGTAAAAGGTTGTATTTTAAAAATATATAGCTGTATTTTGTTTCAGTGTAATTATAGTCATTATGCTTATGTACAAAAATCCTCATGTATTTAGTAGTCTACATCAAAGTGATTATTTTCTGACTGCAGAAAATATTGCATATTTATGTTCAGGTTTGGGGACCTTTATATACATAGCTAGAGATTTGATTAATTTTGATCTAACTATTGTTGAGGAAATCTGTTTCCTCAACAAATTTCTTGTTTTGTTTAAATATGAGTATGAAATTTGGATGTTTATTTCAATGGCTTTATTCGCTGGTGTCAAAATGGCACTGGTAGTGATATTTCAAGTAAAGGAGGAAAGGCTGCTTTACTGTTAAAAATGGCAGATTGGAAAAAAAATGGAATTGCTGTGTTTTAATTGTTACTTGTTGACTATTAAGCCAATGGCTATTTAAAGATTTTTCACATTTGATACCAGAAATAAAGATTTTATAAAATGAATCAATTCTTTAATTACCACATCTTTGAATATGTGGAATTAATTACATGAGAGACAGTATTTTAAGCATTTCGGACTGTACAAAAGATCGAAATGAAGAGTAGTAGCATATTCACTTGAGAAGCACAGAACAGAGTGCCCAGATAGAATAATGATCCAGTATAATTTCTTTTTTAATCCCAAAATTTTTCTTTCTTTATTTAAAGTAAAAACCCAAATTTACATAGGGAGATTTCACTGTGAGTAATGAAAGTACAAACATTATGAACTTTTGATTTTTTTTATAATTATCATTAATTATATGAAAATTGGAAGTTTTAATTTCAAAGGAATAATATGATAGGGGATAAATAAATGAATTTGTTTAAATGTCTCAGCAGGCACTATTTTCACATATCATTATTTTTTCCACAGGCATTTACTTTGACTGATGATTTAGCCCATGTATTTAAATCCAAAGTGAATCAACCAAAAGTTATTGCCTTCTCGTTTATTTTTGGATTGATAGCTTTGGGGTCCTTCATATGGATTTGTGCCATGCTATTTATTTGCTGGATGAAAAGACAGGGGAAAAAAGTAAGTTTAATCATGATGTTTCAAGTGTGAGAAAGGGTAATGCTTGTGCATTTTATGCTATGTATAATTTTGGCATTGTATGGCTTTTTTTAATTAGTTTAATAGGTGCTAAAGTAAGGGGACTTTAATATATTCTTAATTTAGTATCTAGAACAAATATTGTCATTTTCTTCAGATATCTACTGTTCCTGTCAGGGTAGCAAGGTAGTTTGTGATCGGAAATGGACTGTGGGAGGAATGGACTGATATGGTATGTTATTAGAATGGATAAATTGAATCAACTCAAAAGATGAACTTACTGGTATTTCCTGGTTTTTGTTCACTGGGCACCAACTTGATCTTTTTCATAACTTGCACATATTAATATAATGAAGCTTGTCATGCATTGTAAATTTTGGCTGAACACTCTATAAGCTTGCTGCTTTATTTCCTGTTATCTTTCCTTATATTTAGATTGTACACTCTTTGAATTGGTATCAGGTTGTTAATCAGGAAATATTTGACCAGTATTTTGAAATTTGTGTTAATTTGTATTAATTATTTTGTATTTTTACTCTTTAATATATACATAAATGGAATCGCTTATAAAACGATACTTATTTATTAATTGCATAAAGTCTTTACTCTAAACTGTTTGTTAAATAGAAACATTACTCTTAGGTAATGTTTCTATTTAACAAATATCATTTCCACTTGTCCGTTTTATTTTTTACAAAATAAAACTGCCATTGTTTATAGAGTAATTTACATTTTCAAAAGCATTCTGTAACAGAGGTTGCATATGTATGATAGCTTTAAATATATGACTGATATGTTGGAAATTGCATAAAAATGTAATAAAGTGGTCTAAATAAATAACTAGATAAAACTTTTTCTTTTAAAATAAAGAAGTAAGTTATAGCTTTTTCAAGATTAAATTATGCATGTAAGACATAGCTGCCAACTCTTCTGAATCTTTAGTTTTTAATGTGGAAAGTGCTTTTAAGCATAAACGAAAGTTATTGAATTAATGAAATTAGAATTAATGAAATTAGAATTCCATCGCCCACCTATTTTATTGATCTTTGTCTTATTAAATTTAATTTGATCTGACTTATTTTAATCTACTATGTATATTTGTAGATTTTTATATGAAAATTAAAGCAATGTCTTATCAGTTAATAGTTGTATTTAATTTAATTTTACATCAATATATGGTACATTGCTAAGTTTATCTACACTGTACATTATAATACTATATACATTAATTATTAATTTTATTTTTGTCATATTTAAATAGTACTTTGATAAATAAAGGCAAACCTTCACTACTTGGGATTTTCTCAGTAAAAAAGTGCAAGAAATGTATAAAATTAACCGAATAACATAAAATGTAGAATGTCCAATTAAATGCTAATATAATTTACATGAGAATTAAATTACAAATAATCCAATAACCAAAACCATTCATTATATAGTGAATCTAAGTCAGTTTGGATTTCCCTTGAAATGGTGTCACCTAGGGTGAAAAATCTTCCGATTTTCTCCTGCTTTTTAAGACTTCAAGATTGGCAGCTATGTAAGTAAGAATGGTTTTCAGAACATTTGAAGGGAAATTGCAGATTTATGAAGTGGGAGGAGGCTGCATCAGCTGTTTTTTGGGGGGGAACCTCCTAAGATCCACAGTATGTTTATGGATGCTGTAACTGCCTCTGTTTGAGGGCTAATAAGATCTAATATTCAGGCCAGCAATTAAATATAATAATCAGAATGGCTTTCCTTTGTTATATAGAAAAAATTAATATAAATAACTGTTTTACTAAAAATTCCGCTAACATTTTAAATTAAAATTATATGACTCGGACTTCTTGTACTTTCAATTCAGAACTATCTTATGGATGTATTCTGATGCATTTTTTAATTTTGTCTTCAGTTTAATTCTTTTAAGTCCTCTGTTTGATGTTATGCAATATATGCATTAGATTAAGCAGTGAAATTCCTTTGGTATTTTAGTTTAATGCTTTTACACTTTTCATCGAAAACCCAGCAATTATACCATTGTCATTTCGAGGTCACTTTTAATTAGATGTTCATCAGTATTAGTACTATGTGTTAAGATTGAAAATTCACAATGTGTATAAAATTGCCAAGGATAACTTTTGTATCTATTTTTGCATTTTGAATTATCCTTTAAGCCTTCTTTCAATGCTTGAGAATATAATGGTAAGTATCTGGTCAAATCAGAGATGTTTTGACTCCAGTATTAAGAAAGTACTGAAGCAAGAGTCCCAACCTTTTTTCGCTTGTGGACTCCCTTATAAGCATATGTAATATTCTTAAACAACATATTTAATTGTAGGATATAGAAAGATAATAATTACACAATTCCAAAATGAAATAATTAATTATCAAAAATAAATGAATATCAAAAATGCAAATTACAAATTCTGAAAATTTTAATTCATAAAACTGGAACATATTTTAACTTACAGAAACAGTAAAAAAATAAATAAATAATTAAATAAATCATAAATATGCTACAACCATGCATATTTTTTTTTTCTTATATATATATAGCCACTTTTTATTTCCATTTCTGAAACCCAACCTTAATGGCCAAGAGTTCAGAGACTATCATCTATTTCAAAATTTCAAAACAAAACAGTTCCAGGGACTGTTTGAATTTCATCATAAAATTTTGTAATGAATCTGCTGCAATTGAATACTATAATCTTCTGAAATTTATTCTGAGTGCATATTCACAGGATAGTGTAAATTTTGTTATCAAGCTGCAACTACATACTCAGCACTGTGAAACTATTTCTAACATACCTATGTACATGTTTATAGTAGAATGTGAATGTTGGCATCGAGATGTACCTGTTCAGATATGTCTTAAGATTTTATCTTTATAGAAGTTTTCTATTTTGCTTGTATTTCTTTGGATTGATTTACATCCTAAATGCCATATATATGTTAATCATACTGTACATTATTTAATTAAAGCAAATCGTACAGCTTAATGCTCTAGTTATAACACAAAAACTGGACACAGAGAGGGTGAATTTTAGAGAAAGGAATAATAGTATTTGATGCTGTATGATGATGCAAAACAGATGTACAGATGAAAATGCTACTGTATCTAGTGCTATACAATGTCTTATTAATTAATGCTTTTATTAATACTTAGGTTTTTATATGCACTGCAGTATTTTATATTTATGAAGAATTTAAATCTTATGCTATTCAATAACTCTGTGTATAATTTTTAGATTACCTCAGGACCCACAGAAAGAACACCTTTGCTGCAACACCGTTAATTTCAAATATTATTTGTGACATCAAATTGTTTGTTAATGATGCCTTGCTCTTCCACAATTGTTCATTGTTTGTTAATCATTTGTAAAAATCATAACTTTTTAATTTTATACAAACATGTTCAATCAGTTTTTAATAAAGTATGTTGAGATGTTCTTTTTTCCTTTCTCTTAATTTAATGTATATTTAACATTTCTTCAATTCTTTCTTCCAAAATACACACAATGCCCATAATTCATAAATTTGTAATGCAAGCCGAGTCATTTGTGCCCACTGAGGTGCATAACTGGAACGTAAGCTGAGCTCGCTGATGGCCATCAAAAGGTTACGTCGACAGTATCTAGGATAGCACTCGACATATTAACTGATATTTAGGTTTTTCATTGATAATAACTTGCTAATAAAGGTACCTTTGTATCTTTGAGTCAAATCTATATTATCAATTCTTAAATGCACATGTAATATATATTTCTAAGAACCTGTCATAACAGAATGAAGGAGATCCAGATTGGATATTCATACTAAGATTCTGAATATAATATAATGCAGCAGCCTGATTTTATCAAAAGATCCTCTTTTATTCCTTTAAATAACTGAAAGATCTAAATTTCAGTTTGTAAAGTCAACTTTTAAACAAAAAGATTTTAAGATAAAATTACTCATTTGGCTATTCTGACATTTTCATATCATCAAATTATTATTCAATTGTAAGTATAGAATATCCAGAAATACCTCTGAGCCGAAAGATAAACTGAATTATGAATTAAACTTGGTAGTATTTGGAAGCTAGTGGAAGAAACTAACAAGAATAAATATAATTCATCCACTGATGAGTTTAAGATAGGTAACTAACTCTGCTGGTTCTGTCAAATCTACCAGTTTTTAATTTTTAGCTTTTAATAAGAAAAGTGTTTTTCAGCAAAAATGATTATTAAATTGCTCAAATTTCATTTACTCTCACAGATTTTCAGCATAATCTTTATTTGATGTGAAGTTTCTAAATTACTCTTTCGTAGAACTTCATATAAAGATTCAAATGCTTAATGAGTTAATATCTATGTTTAATTTTGCTTTACATCAATATGGAGTACATTATTACATTTGTTCATAGCACATACCTGCCAACTTTTACGAATTTTTCGTAATTTTTACGAAAATGCATTTGTCTTTAAGATTTTAAGATCGTAATCCATTTTTTACGATTTTTTTCCTTTTTAGTGATTTTTGTCGAAATTTTAGAATTTTTCGCCAATTGCATCGTGTTTTACCGACTACTTCGAATCCAGTAACCTGCGGTTTCTCCCAACTCGCCGCTTAACCAGCCAATCCAATGCGCTGAACTTGTTTCTCCCACTCTTTTCTTTGTGGGCGCCAGATTATTTTTTTCGCGTTCGCTTCAGCAGCAAGGGAATTACTCAGCGAGCGTGGATTGTCGCATTCTGTTTTTTTTTTTTTTTTTTTTTTTTTTTTTTTGCACGTGCTACGAATTTTCTTAATACGTCGTTGTTACGAAATGAGTTCAAAAAAAAACCGTATTCTCAATATTTTCGGCCTGCCTACAAAGCCGAATTTCCAACAATTAAAGAATCCTTCAAAGGAAATAACTATGCATTTTGCAACGTGTGCGTGTGTGACTTCATAATAAGTCACGGTGGAAGAAGCGACATTGTGAAGCATGTTAAGTCTAAAAAGCATGAAGTTAATGCTTCGGCTTCGACAACGTCAAAGAAAGTGGATGATTTTTTTTTCAAATTCGGCTACGAATTCGGATGCCGATGTCATTTTGGCAGAGTGTTTTGTTTACTGCATTCCTCATCGAACACAACGTGCCGATCACGCCGGTCAACTTTTCAGACGGATGTTTCCCGACTCCAAGATTGCTCAGAAATATGCTTGTGCTCGCACGAAAACATCTTCTATTGTGAACGAAATTGCTTGCGATGCACAAAGTAAAACGATAGCTGCACTCCAGAATTCAGCATTTTCGGTGTCAATCGATGGCAGCAACGACAGCGATTGGAAGCTTTACCCCATCGTTGTCACATATTTCTGTGATGTTTCTAATGAAATGAAAACTCATCTTTTTGCGTCTTCCATTGTTAAATGGAGACGCTACGGGGAAAAATATTGCCTCCTTGGTAATTAATGAGTTGAAACAACTTAACATCCCAATATCAAACTGCATTTCATTTGGTGCAGATAATGCTCATGTCATGTGGTGGTGACAAAAAGGGTGTAGCCTCTTTCCTCAAAAGAGAACAAAATGAATTAATTGTTATTGGATGCCCATGCCACTTAATTTGGCAGCAGAAAAAGCTGCAGCTGCTTTACCATTAAATATTGACCAGCTTCTGATTGATGTGTTTTTCTATCTGGAAAAAAGTGTAAAAAGGAAAGAAAACAAGAATTTCCTCCAAGAACTGTGCTCTGGTGAAACAAGAAAAATTCTGAAACACGTATGCACAAGATGGTTATCCTTAGGCAGAGCGCTAGGAAGGTTTATTGAACAGTGGGATGCATTGCTAAAATATTTCCACGAAGAGACCAAAACGAAACCACAGATCCCATCAAATTTGTCGGCATATAAGATTCCGAAAACCAACTTTGCTTCTAATCAAAATGCTTTAAAAGGGAAAAGCCAACACACAGAATCAAACCCTTTAAAAAGAAAATGCTTAGAAGACTCCTCAAAGGTCAACTTTGTTAAAAAAAAGTTCAAGGGAAGAAAAAACAGTCTTCTATTAGCCGGGAGGAAAGGATTTTCTGTCTTCTTTCTTCGGATTTGAACAAAGCATATTGTAGTTTTGTGTTAAGTACCATTAAGATTTTTGAAAGTGTAAATACCCTTCTACAATCAGCTTCGCCAAAATCTCCCCTGCTTATCCAAATTCTTAATGATCTTTTGAAAGAACTTTATTAAGAACTTAAGTTTGTAAAACCGTCCGTTGTGAAAAACAGTGTGTTGATTCGTGTTGCCTATAATAGTTTGGCAAATCAATAGGTTGACAATGATCTTATAATTGGAAATCAAACCAGGGAACTTGTAAATTCTTTGAAAGATCATGAGAAAAAAGAATTTTTTCAATGTGTTAGAAAGTACTTTTCCTCAGCCTGTGATTACATTGTAAGGAAGTTTCCTTTGCAAAATGAAGTTCTTTTAAATGCTGAAGTGGCAAATTTGAAACAAATTGAAAATTCATCTTTTGAAAAGATTCGTTTTTTTTTATTGATAAATTTCCATTTTTGTTAACAATTAAAGAAAATGAATGCCATAATGATGCTTTAGATGAACTACAGAACCAATTTTCTGCTGCACAGTTTGAAGACTTTGCCAGTTCTGGAGAAGATGGATTTGATGTCCTAGTTGGTACCTTAAAAAGAATAAAAAGAGCTGATGGAGCACCAAAATATGATAGACTAGCAAGAGTTTTAGGTGCTTTTCTCGTAATTTCTATTTGTATAAATTATTTTTTAATATCAAAGCATGATATTAATTCTTCGTGTTCTTCTGAATTCCAGAAATCTGCAAAGCTTGGGACCAGAGGTTGTGTGGATTTCAGGACAGAAAAGAAAAATCATAGTATTCAGACTAAAAGTGAAAAATAAATAAGGCATATTAGTTACATTATTGCAATAACTTATTATATACGTTAAATTATTACTACATATATAAATTGATTACATTATTCATTGTATTATATATACACAGCAACAAGGTTTGCCGATTTCGCCTCATGCAAATATTTCCGGTGTTAAAATCACTTGCTGTAAAATTTCAACAGCTTTTCTTTATTTTTCCGTATATCATACACAATCGTTTCGCTATTCCATACAATTCTGCTATAAAATGCACCATCTCCATCTTTTGCAGAATGTGCAATTTTTGCATTACCGTCAATGCAACATGTCTACTTTTTCAACATTGCAAGCAGTAAAATCATGAGTGCATTTCTATCTGTAATTGTATTAAAAAGGGCTGAAATTTAAAATATTCTTCAATTTATCCACAAAATATCCGGATTAAAAAAAAGGCAGCACTAAATCTTGTGAAATAACAAAGCTTCGAAAATACAACATGAATAGTGAACTTGAAAGAAGAGTTGAGTGAATCATCTGCTTTCTTACCTTGATGCAGATTAGAGGAAAAAAAACTTTTATCATGATGTCAATAATTTGGTATTTCCTTTGACTCATTATTTGGTAAGTATTTTTTCTTTGATATTGCGGTTTCCGGAATCTATAAACTGAATGTTTGTATTCTGAGAGGCATTGCGAATTTAAGGCCGGCGGATTTTCTTTCCAAAATATTGCTCAAAAATGCCTTCATTTATGAATTTACTTAGTTAATTGGAGCACAAATTTTAGTTAACATAATCTATCAAAAATAATGTAGATTGTGTGAACCATTACTTTTACTCTAAATGTACCTAAAAAATAAATATCCGTCAGATTTTCTTATTTGAAAAATGCAAGTTGAAAGTTTTGAATAACTTGAAGTTCTTCCAAATGTATCTTTTTAAATGTAAGCCCCAAACTACATATTTCATATTGAAACAATTTTTGTGTGAACAGTTTAATTTGACTTGCTGCTTCAAAATGCAATTTACATGTTATATGGATGAAACACTTCAAGTGCACATCAAATATACTGCAGACTACCAGAATGCCCACCAGCAGCAAAACGGTAAATGCTGTGGAACACTGGTTGTTTTAAGTTCTAGTGAACAGGCTGGCTGCATGGGTGTTTTGCCCGATGTGTAACATGAATACGAGCCAGTTTCCCTTAAAAAGTCCTCCACTGAGCATCCCTCCTTTTCTGAGTTGTGCCGAAAGGTAAAGCGTATAATAATTAATGCATTATCAGAATTATTACAATTCTCAAATACAATTGAATTACAAGGGTAATTTGAAGCTTAGAAAATTTACAAAATTCATGTAAAAAAGAATCCTATAAATTTTCAACACAGTATCCATACCATTTTTCATCATTTGGTTAATAAACATGTTCAACCGAAAACAGATATTCTATTGCAGGTTAGAATTTGTGTTTAGACAATGTTGCAATGAATGACAATTTGAAGCTGCATATTATTTATCACATGAACTAGTTCAACATCAAGAATTTTCTTAAGAGTGGTCATCACAATTAAATTTTTCAAAATAGCAAGGTATAAAAATGAATACCTTACAAATTTAAGATGTAAATTATCAATTTTACTTGTAATTAAGTAACACTGATTGCAAATTTAAACATATTTTTAAAGGAAATTTTTAAGTTTTCATACTTTCCAACTGTAACTCAATGTAGAGAAATTGCAATAAACAAAAATGTCAGAATCAGTTTCATAGTTCTTAAGATTAAGCTAAAAATATGCTACGAAAATATGTTAAGGTTTGCTTTAACAATCCCATCAAGTTAATTTTTCAGTTTTATTATTCCTATATTTACCAATGATATGAAGTAGATTCAATCTGAAATAAAACTTTCATTCTGTTAGCCATTTCATCTTTGAATATTTTTCTTTCACGGGAAATTCTAATTACCGTATTTGACGGCATATAAGACGCACCCTTATTTAGATGGCCACACACAAGGAAAAAGTTTCAATAGCATGGTTTCTTTTAGTTCTCACATTTCGTAAAAGCCAAATAAACAATTATTGAATGCAATTACCTTCACGTACAAGATGCAGGTAACTTTTTTGAGATCAAATATAGGAAAAAAAAGTGCGTCTTATATGCCGTCAAATACGGTAACAGAACCTTATGTGAATATTTTAAAAACAAACAACACAAAAGTCTTTTACTTTTTTTTAATTCTTTTACATTACATGTGCCAATGATATTTTATACATTTTCATTACTTTTGCACAAGTAATGAAAACATTAAAATTTTGTAAACTGCTTTTTTGAACCTGCAGCCTTAGTTACTTTCAGAACATTAAACCGAACAGTTTTACTCAAAGGTCTGTTCTCTCCAACAGTAACAATATCTCCTATGGCTACATCTCTGAAACATGGCGATAGATGAACGGACATATTCTTGTGTCGCTTTTCAAAACGATTATATTTCTTGATATAATGTAAATAATCTCTTCTGATGACGATGGTTCTGTTCATCTTCATCTTGATAACAACTCCTCTCAAAATACGACCACGAATGCTGACATTTCCAGTGAAAGGGCATTTCTTATCAATGTAATTACCTTCTATTGCTTCTCTGGGTGTCTTGAAGCCTAACCCAATATTTTTTGTGTAACGACCTTTCTTTACTTTTTGTTTTCCAATGCCAGGTTTTCTGTTCAGAAACACAGTTGGTTGCTTCTGGAAAGCTCTTTCATTTTGCTCAGCTGACTTTTCCATACCGATGTAGGTTTTTCAACCCTAAAAAAATACAAAAAGTAACTTTTTACATCAAATTTTACTAATATAATTCAAAATAGCATAGATAAATCGGCACTATTCTGTTTTGAGGATCATAAAAAAATTGCAGCGCAAAAGCACCAAACCTAGCAAACGCGACCATTTAATAGCACGCGAAAACTAGCGTACACGCCGATTTCAAATTGCGTAAGTTTAGATAGTTCTATATTTTTTAAGACGCCATCGAAATACTAGTTTAATTTTTAAATCCTTTTTTGATAACGCTGTCGATTTAACAATTTCTGAATTGCCCAGTGATGAAAAGTTTGCAATAGAATTTTTTTCAAAGAAAAGCATCATTCATTATAGAAAATTATGTTTGAACAACCAACGAGATGAAATAATGCTGTAGAGATAACTCAGTAGCGAAGCAGGAATCCACTCAGTTATGTTTAGCTTTTTCTATAAATTTAATAATGATCTGAATAGTATTTACTCGTATGCTTCATTTAGTTTGTTATCCTTTTTTATAAATTATAATAAAAAGTATTATATGAAATTAACCTTTTATCTGAATTAAAACAAAATTAATCTTAGTTAATTTCCTATTATACTTCCTTTCTTGCTTTAAAGGGTTGCCACAATTATTTTTGGCAGCAATGGCATCAACAATAGTTTGGCGATTTTTTACGGTCGTCAAAACAGAATAATACCAATAAATCTTTATACAAGCAAGAAAATTTCCATATTTTAATCAAGGGTTTCAATCATTTCCCCACACTATCCACATCAACACAACTGCAATGACAATGTAACATAATCTGATGACCTAATTGTCTGTCTTATACATCATTTAAGATAACCAATTCCTTGTTAAAATAAAACCTGCTTTTTCAAACATTCAACTAGCCCCTATCTTAATTCAGAGAAAATATTTAACCAAAAAATCTTTTAGAAAGCCTGAGGAATAAACACACATAAAACAGTTATTTAACTCCATAAAATAACTTTCCTGCTTAGCATAACAAGATCACATCACGGTCATGACATTTCTAAAATAATGAAATTAAATAGCAGTTTTGAATACCCTATATGAATCACTTAAAATTTTAGGTGAATTATAGTTTTAGGCTCCTAAAATATCAAACATAGTAAAAACAAGTTCAAAAACTGTTATATTATCAAGATAATGCAAATTTAATTCCAGACTGTTAATTCATATTTTTTTACAATGCCATTATAAATTCATTATGCTGCACCTCCTTTTAACTCAGCTGGTTTTTAACCATTTACACTGACCTGCAAATGACTATAAACTATACTCGGCATTCATATTACATACTGACTGGTATATAATCTCAAATAAACTATAAATATTATTCTTATTAAAATGGTCACTGAAATTTAAATTTCGCGAAATTAAAAAAAAAAAAATTAGCAAAAATTAGAAAACATTATCGCAATCTTAAAAAAATCAGGGGATAACATTTATCATTGGAGGCCTTAATTCAGCAATTAATTTAGAATAAAATATTTTCTCTCATCCTACATATTGCCACCATTTATTCTTCTAAATAGGAATCCAGTGCTGGTGAGCCTGGCCACATCCCAGAATCATTGTTTTCTGTGCATTCATGCTATATGTTAGATCTACAAAGTTATTTATGATTTACTATAAAATGCATTTTTTCTCACTCCAAAAATCATGCCGGCAATCCAAATATATTCCATTACCTTCATGTGCATGTTCTTTAATAACCTTTATTAGTTTTGATGCCTCTTTCTGATACCTGCACAAAGAAATATTCATCCACTTCCCTACAGACTGCTCTCCAAAATCACTGGGTTAGCATAGATTGAAGGGTGCCCCTTATATTATCGTGAAGTTGTTGTTTCATTTATGGTAACCTGAGTAGTTGAATGTTATGGAAACCCTATTATTATATAATCTGTTTCATGATTGCGGTAAATTTTGAATTATGGGAAAAGATTTGTAAGAGCTTGTGATGTGTGTTGGTTAGAAAGTACATTGCTTGTTTAGTGGTTTAGACCAGTGATGCGCAAACTAGGGGTTGCCAGAAGTTTTTTTTTGGGTCGCCAAATTTTTATGAAATGCATTATGCCTGCAGGCTGCATACCATACAGTGTATATATAAAGAGAAAAGCGCCGTCACTCACTGTTTAATTGCAATTTCATGCTGTCCGCTCTTTCTTCGACCGTAATGCGTAATGTATGTAAAGTGTGAAGACGCAAGTTTTTCACTCCGGTAGAATAGCACCCTCTTCGCGTGGTAATTCGCCAGTTTTCCTGAAAAGCATCTATTTGACTAGATGTTAACCGCAGTGAAAGGGAAAAAATTCGCTTCCGTGATTAACCAATCAGATGGCGAGGCACGCGATGTATATGATAGTCAGAGTAAAGCCGTGAAGTGTTCGCATGAAGTTAAAGCATGTAGCAGTTGGGCCTGCAATTGTTTTAGTTGATCCTTGAGTTTTATCATGTGACGTTGTGCAATTATGATTTTTATATTTATCGGGCTTGATACTCTTGTTATCAGGTATGTATATCATTAGAAAACAGATCTGTTAATTTTATTGAATTTCTCGAAAAAAATGATAAAATTTTTATATTATTTGTTTTAGTTTAATAATAACCTCTATTCATAATGGATAAATGGGTAATATGTACACCAGGTACATCTTCAGCTAACAAATGAACAAATACTAATGAGGAGTTGCAAAATACTGAACTAAATGCCCAATCTAAAAAATAAGAAAATACAATGAGGAATTTTTAAGTATGGTTTTACATTTTTTGTTGTTGATGATGAAGAACGTCCGATATGCGTCATTTGCAATGAAAAATTAGCAAATGAGAGCACGAAACCAGCTAAATTAAAAAGGCACCAGGAAACTAAACATAAAGAACTTTAAAATAAACATGATGATTTTTTCAAAAACGAGCTGAAAATCTGAAAATTCACATTTAGAGAAAGTTACAATACCTCAGAAAATACGAGCTCAGTTTCTTATCTAAAGCACCTTACAAGAATCCCTTCCTTCCTGCAGCAACTAAGATGACATCAATTATGTATGGTGATAAATATGGAAATGAACTAAAAACAATACCATTATCAAGAGATACAGTGTCTCAGCGGATTTCCGAAATGTCGAGTCAGAAGTCATAAAACACATATAAAATTCATCTGTATTTGCTTTACAACTGGACAAGACTAACGATATTACTAAAATGTCACAACCAATTATTTACGTTAGGTTTATTTTTAATTGAAGATATAACAGAAACGTTTTTATGTTGCAAAAGTTTGGAAGGAAAAAACAACTGGATAAAAAATATATTCGAAGTAATAAATGAATATTTTGAAACAATGTCCCTTACCTGGGCAAACTGTGTTGCGGTTTGTACTGATGGTGCTGCAGCATTAACAGGTTCGAATAAAGGGCTCAGAGGCTTAATTCAGAAGGTGGCGCCTCATATGGTATTTAATCACTGTATGATTCATCGACAAGCTCTTGTTGCAAAAAGATATGGATGAAGAGTTGCACAACATATTACAAGATGCTGTTCGTTCAATTAACTACATTAAATGCAACACCCACAACAGCCGTCACTTTTCAATACTTTGCAATGAGATGGGCTCAACGTATGACAGATTACTGTTACATGTCTTTCACGTGGCCGAAGTCGATGGCTTTCACGCGGGAAATTATACAACGGATTTGATTTGAGAAATGAAGTGACATGTTTTAATTGAAAGAAAAATAGATGGGCAAGTAATTATATGAATGAAGTTGGCTAAATAGCTGAGCTATTATTGATATTTTGAAAAAGTTAACGACTTTAAATTTGAGCTTGCAGGGGAGAATTCACTATCATAACTTCAGCCAGTAAAATTCAAGCTTTTAAGAATAAGCTTAGTCTGGCAAACTGAATGAATAAAAACAACACCGACATGTTCTTTCTTTAACGTTTTTTATCAAGGAAAATATATAGATATATTTACATTTAAAAACACATTTCCAATCCCATTGAAAGTTAAAGGAAAAATTTTTTGAGAAGATTCGAGGATTTTCCTGAAAACGATCTTGGTTGGATTGTGATCCATTTCCTTTGACATATGCAGTTCAAACTTCAAATTAGTGAGAAAGAGCAATTGATAGATCTAATTAGTGATTATGCTCTTCGAATCAATTAAGACTCAGCCTTACCAAAAATTTTGGCTATCCGTGGAAAACATATCCCGTTTTAGCAAGATGCCATCAGAGTGTTAATACAATTTGCATAACTTATTTATGTGAAACTGGATTAGCAAACTAGTTTCAATTAAAAATTAAATACCGCTCGCGTTTAAACCCTGAAGATGATATCGAATTGCAATTAGCAACATACATCCAAAACTCGATGAGATATTAGAAACTTATAGCCACATCTCATTAAAGGGTAATTACCAATTTTGTGTTATACAAAAAATATTTTCTAAAATTATAAATAAAAAATTTATGAGTCAGATATATGATGTTTTATTCGATGAAAGAAGAATGCGCGAAATATACATCGTATTGTGAACTTTATCTATGGGGTCGCCAAAAATTCTCTCTACAAAAGGGGTCGCAGTTGGGAAAGGTTTGCGCACCACTGGTTTAGACGGTAAAATGGCCGAATGTGGTAAGATTAATTTGAAGTTTCTGTATAATTTGGAAAGAAAGAGGAAAACAGCATTAATTGACTGGTGTGTAAAATGATTTACTTATTAGCCACTATTAAGTGTCCTGTTTGTAGAAAGGAAATGCGTATGGTCGAATGTCAGACAATAACAGCGCTATGGAGGCTATTTTTAACTCATTTTTGTGAATTTACGTGGTGATGCCAGTATACAGATTCTAGTTCAGATAATTTTAGGAAGTTTCTGTATGCTGATAAGGAATTTTGTTTGTAACTGAATATAGTTAAATGTGTACATGGACAAAGTGCGCAGTGCCTAGTTTGTGCAATTCTCTGATTTTTTTAAAGTGAAAATAGGTTGATGCGTACACAGATACAGAGTTGTGCAATTCTTTGTCTTACCTTTGTGTAGCGGCGACATAGCCCAAAGTAACAAGTCAAAGAATTACACAAACTCAGTATCCATGTACCGCAATGGGCACCTGTAAATATATTTTTACCATCCACTTTTTTCGCAAAATTCTTCGGTTGATCTTTACAATATGGTAACTGGTAGTTTGGCGACATTTTGGAGGTGATAAAGGTTACTACCTGGGACTTTGATAATAATGAGAGCAGTACTCAGTTCCGATTACGCATTATTTTGTGTGAGGGAAATGAGAGATCATGGGATATGTCATGTGATATTAATGGACGAATTACGGTTCTTTAATCGGAAAAGGGGGCAAATCGGGAAAAAAATCTGGAAATTTTGTATTTGGCTTTATTCTGTGTTGTGTGAAAAACAGTGTTGTTAATTTTTGGATCCCATGGCCGTAACTAAAGTGAATTCGAAATGGGTATTTAGTGGTATTGAAAAGGGTAGTAAAAAATGTTTTTTAAGGTTGTGCGAGATAGAAATAAAGATGTTTTATTAAGTTATTTATTTTACCTGGTACCTTGCTGTGAAATATAAGTATGATTTTAAAGATCTGAAACAGAAAGAAGAAAAGTTTATCCGACACGTAATCAAGATTCTGAAGAAGATTAGGTAAGTTAGTATTTTTAATTATTTGAGGATATTATTTTTATGCATTGTTCTAAATGTAAGGTGAAGTAAAGGAATTTGGTATTATTGGGAAAATTGTTATTAGCAATGATTTAGTTTTAAAGTAATTAGGATTGTAAGGTAATTTTTATTAATTTAATGTATGTGCTCATTTATATTTTAAGTAGTGTTTTTGAATTTAATTATATTTTAATGAAATGATAGTTATTTTGTGAATTTTATGTTTGTAGGAATTTGGTATACGTTTTAGTTGAAGTAAACGTGCATGGAAATAATTTAAATATTTGACACTAAGTATTTGTAATGCTTGCGGTATGAATTCGTTGGTGACGTTTATAATATAATAGATGATTTAGAGGTAAAAGTTTTTGGATATTTTATTTATTTTATATGTGGAAATGTTCATATTTGGAAAGGGTAATACTTTTTCGCGATCAGGTAATTTCATATATGTTCTTTTTACCGGGTTTAAAGATTGAGAAAATTGTCATGTATTTTCGTGAAATTTTTCTAATTTATGAGAAAAAAGCAGTGTACATGGATATAGTGAAGAGTGTGCGCAATGCCATTTTTGTGCAATTCTGGGATGTTTTTTTAAGTAAAAAAAATAAGTCGGCGTGTACATGGTTTATGTGTATGTGTTATTTTGAAAAAACGCGTAAGGAGTATGGTATTGTGCACTTTTTCCCAATTTTGCAGTGAATATTTGTCATGATTAAGCAGTTTTGTTTGATAAAATTTCTAGCATAAGTGTAATTCGGCTAGTAGATTGTTGGAAGAAGTGTTCAGTAGATAAAAAGAAAAGAAACATGTCTTTACTTCGTGAAGACAAAATGGCGGCGGGGAAAAAAATAGAGGGTTGCTGTAGGAGAGTTGGTTGCCAAATTTTCGCCAAAAAATCGCCAAGTTACCATAATGTAAAGATCAACCAATTCTTCTTGACAAATAGACTTATGTCAATCTTGATATTTTTAGGTTTACCAGTTTTACCCTTTTAGGGTATGATAAGGAATACACTCCTTTTCTATAGTAGCTCCAGTAAATGTGTGTGCACCTATATTTAACTGTATTGCTCCATCAGATGGAAGTTAGTTCTTCAGTCCAACAGTATATGAAATGCAAAGGCGGTAAAGAAATGGAATCCTGGAACCAAAACCAAAAGACCATTTTCTCCCTGCAGTTTTTCAAACCAAATCTCCAAATACTTTGCTTCCCAATAAAATAACTTTATTTTATGGTAATTTTTGCACTTTTGCTCAGTGTGCAAAATTTTTATCATTTTGGATTTAAAAAAAAAAAAAAAAAAAAAAAAAAAAAAAAAAAAAAAACTAAATTCCAGTTCATAGGAAGCTAAATACAGTCAAAAGTTGTTAATCCGGACTCGTCGGGACTTCGGCGATTCGGGATTATAGATCATCAGTTTAAATCTGGTAAGATGGCATGCAGAAATTACAAATAAAAATATGAAACCGTAGTTTATGAAATAAACAACAATTATGATCTAAAGGGTATCAAAATTTTAAAAAAAACTTTATTTATTTGTTTACTTATTAAACATTTCTTTCCATGTAAGTTGTTTAAGTTGCTTCGTTTTATGTGATAATACTTTGTCTTTAATTCTATAAACAGACATAATTTCTTCTTCGGTTACAAAGTTCCGCTTTTGAAGTCCTATAATTGCTGTGTCGAGAATACCAACTAATTTGTCAATTGAAATTTTTTTGTTTTCAATAACCTCTGTGTCACTTTCTTCACTATCGGAAGCGAATTAGTATAATGACGAGGAATCTGATTTAAATCATATCAAAAACGGAGTACATCGAGATGGAATACTACATTTAGTAAGGAATTATAAGCCAAATAAAATAAAAACATCTGCCCTGAAGATAAGGATAGTGCTGACGAATTCATTGCGCGCCGCGGCGTTTCCGCTCATGCCACTTTGGCTATCTTGGACTACACGGTACTATCACTGCTAATAAACTGATGTATAGGTGCAGCATGCTCCTTTTTAAGGCATGGTTGAGATTAAGATTGTGCTTTATGCTAATTTTGGTTACCTATTCAAATTCTCCTATGTAACTTCTACCTCATATGTAAATTGTTCATATGTAAATTGTATGTTTTTAATTCCCCTTTATATATCTGTACCCATCTTTCGACATTTGTTGCTTATTTGGCTACAGTGCAGAATCGGCCACTTATACCTCACATATGGATGTGTACATGGACAAAATCAAGGAAGTGCACAATGCCAAGTTGTGCAATTCTCCGATTTTGTTTCAGTGAAAATAATTTGATGTGTACATGGGCAAAGTCAAGGTAGTGTACAATGCCAAGTTTGTGCAATTCTCTGATTTTTTTTTTTTTTTTTTTTTTTTTTAAATGAAAATAGATCGATGATGTGTTCATGGATACCGAGTTTGTGCAATTCTTTACTTATTTTCAAATTGGCAGTTTTGAGAAATGCATGAAGCAGTGGGTGATTTTGCACTTATTTTTTTAACACAAGTGTAATGCGAAAGACATTTTGTGAAGATTTTATATAACACCTGATACCAATTTTACATTGCTCTCCCAATTTCATATCAATCCCTTTTTATTATTGAAAAATGTGGTATTAATAAACTGAATTCCACAATGGCATAAAAAGTTAAGCGTTTCTGAAACTTCTGCTTACTTAAATAACTTTTAAAGCCAGGCATATGGATGTTAAAATCCCTTTATGAAGTCTTCCAAGAGATATGTTCACTTACCATTACAGTACCTTTGAAATTAAATAATTAACGTGAGTGTGTGTGTGAGTATGGCAAAGCCTCGAGGGCTATCTGCCTAAGAGGAGGGATGCCTTTCGTGGAGGACTTTCTAAGAAAAACTGGCTCGTATACACGTTACACATGGAGAAAAACATGAAAACACCCATGCAAGCCAGCCCGTTCTTCTGGAAACGAACCCAGGTTGACCGAACTACCAGTGTTCAGCAACTTTACCGCTCGGCCGCTGGTGGGCCCTAAATAATTAACAAATAATTAATTAACGAAATTCAAGCTTTAAAGGCTTTACTTGTCATATTAATATGCAAATAAAAGATCAGATAAAAGTAGCTGTTTCCATATTTACAAAAATATCACTATTCAAAAGTACGCAGAAAGACAATCTTCAATTAAAACCAACATCGGTTTTTGCATCATAAAAACAATACATTCTTTCCTTGATTTAATAACATTGCACAAGTCTCACATTAATTAATATGAATGACAAATTTCCATAATGTTAAAAACATTTAATTACAAATAAAAAAAACTTATTCAAAACACAATTTATAGAAACTTGTAATATAGGTTGCTACTCCTTTCACACGCACGTAACTACACTAAGGTAACAGACAGCTCTAAAATTATACCTATCTGCACTTAATCAGAAATTCTTAAGAACATTAAAAAATCCTTAAGAATGAACTTTAAAGTATTACAAAAATACTTCTAACCCTTCATTTTCAGAAGCTAATAAAATGGCTACCTATCAATTCATTAAAGTTATTTTGCAAACAACCGATACTTTTATTCAATTGTAGAACTAAATATTTAAACACACTTATATCATATAAAAAACAGATTTATTTTAAAGAACATTTATTCACTTACTTTCTAATTTATTTGGTTAACAACCAAGACTACTACAACGTGTTCCAACTCCAAGACATCCAGTTGCCAGATTGTAAGAACGTTTTTCACCTGCAAAGTTGAAGTATTTTTTTTTAACTCGAATAATTTTTCTGTGCATAACTCTTAACAGACAATTTGAACTGCAATGTCAAGACAAAATATGGGCTTCAAGTAAGACGGAAAACATTTTCACTGAAATGCGCCTGCACAACAAATGACAGAAATAAGGAACATTGACAATTTGTATCTGTCGAAGAAACCCTGCTCTGAAAAAAAAAAAAAAAAAAAAAAACTTAGCTTGCTAGCCAAGTCATCGAAAAGAATCAGATTCATAAGCTTTTTTAAAATAATAGTCACCTGTTAACTGTATTAGGGTGACCCAGTGAGCTCTGTGTAGATAAGACATGTATACCAAATTTCCTTGGACATCGATGGAAAGTATCATGCGCCTGATTAACCATCTTACATTACATTAGGTCAAGTCAAACTCAGCAATAATTCTCCCCAAGAATGATAAAGCCATTTCCATATTTAATATTTAATGGCGTATTTAAAAGGTGAGTTAAATACATAAAATATACTGCCTAATGCTGGAATTAAAAAAAAAAAAAAAAAAAGAAGAAGACAAATTTTAAAAAAATCCGGCTAGTAAAACCATAATTTGTCATATTTCAATAGGCTTTCACCCTATTTCAATCTTGGATGGGGGGTGTGATGTATGGGTGACGCCAACCAACAAGCTGTATAGAGGGCGCTGGCTCTTAATCGGAAGGTGCCAAAAGTTTTGTTTTCCAAGAGGGAGACTGACAGAGAGGTCATAGGGAAGGCTCGTGGGAGCCATTAAGGAAAATGAAATTAACTTTTATTACTTTATATATATATTTCAATTATTAGTATTGTAGTTTAGTATTAGTTTTGTGTTTGTGAAATAAATGTTTAAAATACAAAAGGGTGGAGTTATTTCTCTATGAGGCGGTGGATGAAGAAAGGGATGATACCCCAGTTGAGGTTCCTCGGACCATAGATATCTAAATTGTGTATGGGTCCTCTAGAATATGGACCTGGGTCGGAGATTTATCGTCTAGTGCAGGGGTCGCCAAAGTGGTCTATATAGACCCCTAGGAGTCTATTTAACAACAGTAGGGGTTTATTTGACCCAAGGGGTCGAATGGGGGTCTATTGGGACTCGAAGGAAAAACAGTTTCTTAATACGCAAATCACACATATCTAACTGCGTACTAAAATTTAAAATTTTATATTACTAAATATATTCTTAAGAAATAAAATTATACTCAAAACATCTGCCCTTTTTCCTATGGGTTCGATTATCCTGCGTCACACCGACTGGACAGTTGTAATTTCACGACATATATGTAGCCGAAGAGCGGTTGAGCTAGGCCCTAAACCAGGCTGAATCACCAACTTTTCTCTCTTGGCGAGGGAGTGAACGCGCTGCCAATTTTGGCGCGTTTATCGCACACGCTGGCTGAATGTCTGCTGTTTTTTTTTTTTTTTAAAGATTTATTTTATAGACGCGCGGCATTCAGCGCATATAAACTTTTCGGATAATTTATTAATTCTCGAATAGTATATAGACGTTTTCACTTAAATAAAAATTTCGCGTATATTTTGTAAACATATTCAAAATAACTTATTCTTTAGATGTTTCAGTTTCGTTAGCAGACTAAAATAAATAAGATATGAATAAAAACTTTCAATAGTGTCAAATGGGGAAATAGTTTAAAGCGTAGAGTGTGCAAATAAATTTATCTTAATGACATTTTAACAAAAATTTCCATAAAAACACTGTAAATTCATACTAAAAAAAATAACTTAAGAATATGTTGTCATTTAAGTCTGAGGTATATGGAAATAATTGTGCAAGATTCTGAAGAAAACACTTTCTTTTAAATGTGTGAAATATTTCATAACATATATGGAAGAAGAAAGTACAGCATTCTGTGTTTTGGATGCTTTTCATCAAATGTAATATAAATACGAACTAGAAACCGTAATAAAAAGTCCTTCCTCTTCAATCAGATCACCTTTGTGTTGCATTGTATTTGTAATACTTCTAAAAATCCAATTTTTACCTAAATTAAAAAACAGTTATTCCATAAAAGATAATAACTTTGAACGTATATAGAATGAATTTTGTAATTTGAGTTATGTTACAAAATAATTCATAGTTTATATATTTTATACTAATAATTTAGATAAAACCTGTCCAATTTAAGAATGTGTGTTAACCACATTCTTAAATTGTAAAAGGACGACTTAACCACATGTAATTCATTTCAAAGCATAAAAGAAAGCTTATTTTTTATTTTACACAGCAACAGCATTTTCATGCAGTCAAGTTTTTTTTAACTGCTAGTTATTATACATAATACTTAATTTTAAACCCATTCTTATTAGAAAGCATAACTAAGAAACTTCTTTTTAAAGCACCACAGTGATTGCAAAGAATGTCGTTAAATTTACAAAAGTATTGAAGATATATTGAACAGCATTATAACAAGAAAGTACTGTACAAAATATGTAAATTTAGCATAACTTCTTTTTTTTTAGTATTTGCATAGTTTCCTCCAAATGAACCTTAATGGGAAGTTATCTTGCGAAAATTTAAAAGTATTAAAATGGCCTCTATTTAAGATGTAACTGCATTTATAATTATTTTGTAATTGCGAATAGATTATATTATTGCAATTAGATTATGCACTTACAACATAATTGCATAAAGTAATGAAATTAAGAGTTCACAGATACAATGTAATATAATTACAATGCAATTACCTAAATTGTAATTATAATCACTTATTTAATACCACAATATTATTACAATCACAATGTAATTTAAATTGGGTACTATATTTGCATACCCTCCACTCAAAAGGAGGTACTGATAAGCCTGGAAGTTATTATCAACAAAAAGCCTGTTCAGGACAGTTTGATGACAATTTCCACCGGGCGAAAAGTACATTCTTAAGCCCAGGCAAATCATGACAATAAAAATCATTTAGTCTTATGATTCACTATATTTTAAACCCTAAATTTGAATTCTGCACCAAATTATTTACCTATATTTTAACATACTTTATGAATTATTAGAAGCGATATGGCAAATATCTTCTAAAAATAACTGTAAAAATTTTGTATCCATTAATTGATTCAGATACACACTTTTATTATTTAAGTATATCAAAATAACAGTTTCATGTTCCTGAAATACAAAAATTATGGAAAAAGTTAAAGTAATATTCTTAGAAGCATATGATATTAGTCACCAGATGCAAAATTATAGTTAATTTTTTGCCCTAAATACAATTTTATTACACAGTAGTCAAATGTGTAACTTAATAACATGTTATATAAAAAAATTAATGATAATAAGTTTATCAGAAATGAATTAATTCTGCAAATAAACTTTCTGCACTTGAAAATTTTCTACACCTGAGGGGAGGGAGAGATCTAGTAAAATTAGATTTATTATAACTTCAGTTGGACCAAACACCTTCTCTCTATATATATGCATCACTAAAGAAATAAATAAAATTATCATGCTTAAAAAACAGATATACCATACCAGTTTTTTTTCCCCTTGTTACCCTTTACATTGAGAAATAACAAACAGTACAACACTGAAAAATACTATCCTTGAAATTTTTTGTTTAAATGAAGAAAACACACACCATCTTTTTATTTAAGCATTACACTTCAAAAACAGATACACATACCAATTTATTTTCACTAGCCTTTATACTGATAACATGCCATATAAAAATGAAAAGAATTATCCTTGAAATTTAGATAAAATGAAGTAACACATGGAAAATATTAATCTTTTTTCTTGAATTTAATAATGTGGATTAGTATAATATACCAACTTAATTTTAACTTATTTACAGAACCCTAATTTAAAAATGACAGCTTCAGTATCTAAAAAGAAATGTCGGTATTATTCATTGGATTACTTAAAATTTGGATTTATTTGTTCACCGACAAATGAAACTATTCCTATGTGTCTTATATGCGAAAAAACTTTTGGAAATGAATACATGAAACCGTCAAAAATGAAAGATCATCTTGAAAGGCTTCATTCAGATAAAAAAAATGAAGAATTAGAATTTTTCAAAAAACTCAAAGAAAAATTCACATGTCGACCAACTCTAAAAAGTTTTATGAAACAGTCTACTGAAACTGAAAATGAAGGAGGATTAATTGCTTCGTACAAGATTTCGCTTAATATAGGAAAGAGGGGAAATCACACACAATCACAGAAGAAATTGTAGTACCTGCAGTTAAAGACGTCATTGAGAATGTGATGAAAAAAAGACTCTACTAATGTTTTAAAGTCTTTGCCATTAAGTGCAAATTCTCTAAAACGGCGTATTGATGAAATGGCCGAAGAAATAGAAAACACAGTAGTTTCGGAGCTAATGTAGTTCGGAGTTAGATGGTTGTCTAGAGGTGTATGCTTGCAACGGCTCGTCAATTTATTTGACTCCACGACAGAATTTCAGAACGAAATAAATCCTGTTCTAAGCAATGAACTCCAAAACAATAAGAACCATATTTTTTATTTAGCAGACTTATTTGGAAAATTTAATGACGTTCAAACAAAACTGCAAGGAAAAGATGTAACAATTATCCAAGCTCGGACAATACTGTTAGGCTTCCAAGTAAAATTAAATTTATTTAGATCTTCATTGCTACGTAAGGATTATAAGTATTTTTCAAATCTGCAACAATTAAAAATAAAAGAAGAAGACTTGGAAATATATACAAATCATCTTCAAAAATTAAGCGACGATTTTAAACTGCGCTTTGTTGATTTGGAAAACATCGACATCCCTGATTGGATTATTGCGCCATTTTCGGCGCAAATTGATAACGTCGACATCAACATACAAGATGAGCTTGCTGAACTATTGTCCGATCTTGAAGCAAAAACGCTTATTAAAAATTTGACAATACATAAATTTTGGACTAATATAAATATAAAGCAAAAATATGTGAAACTTTACGAAATGGCTCAGCCATTTATGCTGGCGTTTCCAAGTTCGTATATGGTTGAAGCCGGTTTCAGTCACGTTAATTCAATTTTAACTAAAAACAGAAATAAATTAAATGTGGAGCTTCGAGGGGATTTACGGTTAAAATTGACTAATTTCGAACCCAATATAGCGAACCTTGCCAAGAAACACCAGGCACACTCATCTCATTAAGAAGTAAAAAATCTGTAGCTACTTTACTTACTGTTTCTGATTTATTAAATATTTAGACTAATATATAGTTTTATTTTAATTACCTGAAAATTACCTTTGTGGGGGGTCTAAATTTTCAGCTAAGTTAAAAAATAAATAAAATGGTAGATTTCGAAATTATATAGGGGGCGATGATCAAAAAAGTTTGGCGACCCCTGGTCTAGTGTGTCTGTATATATATATATAGATATATGTGTGTGATATTTTAAGTGCATAGGAGGAATCCGGTACTTTTAACTTGTAGCTGTATACATGGCTGAATGGAAAGGCACACAGATGACGATAACAAAACTGGATTTTGATGACTCGCCAATCTTTATTTTCACAAATATAAAATCATCTTGGTAGACATTTATCCAATTATAATTAAATACGATAAGTTTTATGTAGACGGAGTTTTAAAAGTACGACGTAAGCATTTTAGACAGGACAGCATAACGGGCGCAGAGTTGTTTGCATGGCAAACTCAGGCAAAGGAATGATGTAATTGCTTGCGAAGAGTATGTATACAAAGTATGATGTATAAGTACAACAAATCTGTAATTGGTTAATTTTAAGTTGTTATGTAAGATGGCAAGATCTCGAATTTGGAAGAACAGAGGAATTTGGGGGGCGAACATCAAATTTAGAGGTTGCCAATTATTTCTTAGAGCAGCCATAATATTTTGTTATATCTTACATATATATGTGATAAATAGATATATATATATAATATACATATATATGTAATAAAAGCACAAGGAAAAGACGGAGCACTGTTGATGCATACTTAGATCCATATTGAACAATTTTGATTGCGTAGTATGCTAATATGTTGACATCGTAATATCTAAAAAACTTCGCAATCGAGACAGTTTTAATTCCATTTTTATTTGCAACTGACTTTTGTGGCCACAATCACTTGACATATTCGTGCCTGTTCACAGAACATTTACATTTTTGATAGTATTGCGATAGCAAGCAAGACAACGAAATTACATTCTAGTAGGATAGAGAGCGAAGCTGAAGTGCGTAGTTATGCAAGATGGAAGCACACGAAGAAAAAAATTTTGTTTTGAGTTTAAAAGTTTCAGTTTCCTATTATTACGTCATCAGCGCTGCGCAGGCCATGCAAAATGGAATGATCTAGAAATGACGCAATCAAGAGAAGTTATTATGATTTTTAGAACAGAGAGGAAGAACTAAAAATCGAGAGAAGTTATTATGATTTTTAGAACAGAGTGAGAGAATTAAATTTTTACCATTAGTTTAAATTATAATTTTGATTTGCATATTTTTTTATCTTACATATGTATCTATATCAAAATTTGAAAAATTGTTTCTTTTTTCTTCTCTAATGCTTTAGTGCTTTCTTCTAAAAGGGCTTTTCTGTCACCAAGCCTTTTTCTCTTTGAAGGAGGTATATGTAAGAAAAAAATATGTAAGTCAGCTTTAAATTTAATTTAGTAATATCCTTTTAATACCTATTTTTTAATTTGGTTATTTCCCTTTCATTCTAAAAAAATTAATGACATTTCGAAACTGAGTCATTTCAAAATAAATCTATGTCGCATGGCTTGTGTAAGGTAATGACGTAGCTAATTGGGAACTTGAAGTCAAAGCTTTTAGAACTGAAACCTCTCTACCTAAACCAAAACCTTCTTCTTTGGTGAGCTGCCATATTGGAAAAATGCACACTTCGCTTGTATCTCTGTTGCTGCTTGGACGTGGTCTCTTCCTATCGCAATAGTATCACAAAATGTAAATGTTTTATAAATAGGCACGATTAGAGTGCCAAATGTGTATGGCACACAAATGTGAACTTAAATAAAAATGGAATTTAATCTGCCTCGATTGCCAAGTTTCCTATTCGTTATGGATTAGCATTCTACGCAATCAAAATTCTTCCTCTTCGGTATGGATCTACTACGTTCTGTGAATTGTACGTGCTACACTATCTGCTACACTATCTGCTACACTATCTATGAACTTGAGAGCCATCGTCAATCTATCGCAGCTTACTACAAGTCATCTTATTACATATATATATGTAAGATAAAAAAATATGAAAGCAAACATCTAATTTTAATTGGCTATAACCTCTTTTATTTTTTAGTTAATTTGGGGACTTCAACTCTCTGTCTTAAAAATAACGCTACAAGTCTAAACTGCGTCATTCAAATTAATCATGCGATCTTACGTTGCACTTAATGCAGATATCTCTTGCCCAATTAAAGTAATTGTACACCGAAACTTTTTGACTCCCTCCCACCTTCCTCTGAAATTACTTCTGCGACACTCTTTCCTTTTCTCTTATGCTTTCATCCTATTAGGACACTGCTGCAATCATTTATGTTCGCTTCTGTCGCTATAGTATCAAAATTGTTCTGGAAATAGGCACCATTGGAGTGCCAAGTCAATAGTGGACACAAATGTGAATTTAAATAAAAAAATGGAATTAAAACCGCTTAGACTACCAAGTTCTTAGTCTTTATGAATTCTACGTTTTAAGTATCAAGTATTTTCGCAAACGGCATTTCTACTCATCTACATCTACGTGTTGTTACATCAGTGCTTCCAAAATTGTGCTTTTATTGCATATATATATATATATATATAACAAAAATGTTATCACTTACTATTTCATATTTGCTTCCTACATAAGAGTGCTATAGCAATTATCAGCTAAATTATATAATATATACGTATATATATATTGGGTTTATCAATATCTCAGACATATCTCCGCGGATTCTAATCCTCCGCGGAATTTCTTAATAAATTTAATATTTATTTTCTGATAGGATATAAAATTATGACATTTTAAAATTACTTCTGCAAAAATAAAAATCACCTTTATGACTTGGTGGGTTTCCACAATACTTTATGATTTCAGAGCTAGGCAGTTCATGCAAAATTTCCTAAAAAGCTAACTTATGTATTTTCGTAGTCTTCATACCTGAAAAAAGTATTTGCACATTTTTTTCTAATAATATTCTTTAAATTCAAACTTATTAAACGTTAAAATTAGGAACATAGTACATACCTTCACCATATGGTTGAATGTTTTAGAGTATATTATCTTAAATTAAATTTAAAAAAAAAAAAAAAAAAACAAGGAAATTTAAATCAGTTCAAAGTATGAATTTAATCGATTTACTTTACTGGTAACTTTTGTATAAGGCAGAGTGTAAAACGAAATCAGTGGAACATTTCGGGTACACTGCAAATACTGTTATAGCAACGTTATATGGAAAATCAAGTTAGAGAGAAAGATAAAGAGCCAGTTGCATCCAAAGCGATGGAATATGTAAATATTTCTTAAATCACATTGTTGATGAGGAGGGAATATTAAATAAAAATACAATAAAATATTTTCACTCTAAATTCATTTAAGTGATATTAATAAGACTGTTTTGAGTCTTCCTTAAAACTTATGTTCTGCTGAAAACTTTACAGCAGTGATTCTCAACCTGAGGGGGGCGCGAGCACACTAATGGGGGGGCGAGCATATCCAAGAGAAAATATTATTTAAAAAAATTGATTAAGTGACTGAAAGGAAAGAACACACACACACATACAAAACAAAATATATTTCAGCATATTTAATAATTATTAAATTAAAAACAAATTTAATAATTATTAGTGACTTCCTTGGGCCTGTCTTGCAGAGCAAAGTTTTTCGAAGGAGGGTTTAATATTAGAAATAGACACTCGCAGTTCTTTTTCTATATTTAGCTGAGATCTATATTTTGTCTTCAAAGAAGCCACCGTAGAAAATCCAGTTCCACAGAGGTAAGATGTTGAAAATGGTAGTAGAATGCGAAATGCCGTTGTTTTTAGTGCAGAAAACTCATCATCCACTCCTGCCCAAAATTCAAAGAGTGATTTATTACTAAATTGTCTTTTGGTTTCGCCGCTTGCCGTGAAGTCTATGAAGGTTTCTTCCTCTTCAATTGAGAGTCCTTCGGGAGTATTTTGAAATGGATCCCTCACCCACTTGTAACTTGATATCAGTTTGTCGTCAGCAAGAAAGTACTTTTGAAAATTCTTTGCTAGCATTGCTAAATGATTTTCAATGGTTACAAAAACAACTTTTACATGTTGTTCTTCAGCCTTGTAAGTTTTGATACAATCATTCAAATTTGCAAACATTGTTAAGCTTTCTTGCTTTAAATTTCTGCTCCACAATTCCAATTTCCTACAAAAAGCATTAACTTTATCACTCGTATTCAATATATGTGTATTTGCTCCTTGCAGTTGAAGATTCAAGTTATTTAATTTCTCGAATATGTCGACCATGTAGCTCAATTTCATCACAAATACGGGATCGCAATATCGGGAAAATTCTCAGCTTCCGGTCTGTTTTCCTCTTCTAGGAAAACGGCGATTTTTTCTTTTAATTCATAAACACGTTGCAAAAATTTTCCTCGTGATAACCATCTTGCCTCGCAATAAAATAGTAACGCTGAATGTACTGCACCTATGTCTTTACAAAATGCGGAAAAGATTCTTGATTTCAGGGGTCTCATTTTTATATAATTTACTACGGTTAAACCGTAGTTAACACAATATTCAAACTAGGACTCATTTCTTTGGAAGCCAAAGCTTCTCTGTGAATCATGCAATGTGTCCAGACGCACTGTGGCGAATTTTGTTTCACAAGTGCTTGAATACTTTGGAATCTTCCGGACATAGAACGAGCACCATCGGTGCATATTCCGACGCAATTTTTCCATTCTATGTTTGCCTCGTTCATAAAATCATTTAAGATAGCAAATAATGCGAGTGCTGTTGCTTTGAGTTCTATTGGTTTGCAGATAAGTAATTCTTTAACTACTGACAAATCATTACAAAATCTAACATAGGCAATGAAATGAGCATCTTTATTACTATCTGTTGCCTCATCGAGTTGTATTGAAAACAATCTGTCACGTAACTTCGACAAAAGCTGACACTACATCTTCAGCTATATCAGCAATTCGACGGGAAACAGTATCATTTGAAAGAGGTATAGACTGCAATTGTTTTGCAAAATTATCTCCAAACATAATTTCTACAATCTCAATTGCGCCTGTCAAAATAAGCTCTTCATAAATGGTGTGAGGCTTTTTACATCTGGCTATTTTATATGAAACTTTGTAAGAGGCAATTAAAGCTTTTTCCTTCACAGACAAAGTTTTTTTTAAAAAATGATTTTTGCTTTTCATATGATTTTAATTTTAATTCGAAGAATTCTCTGGGTTTGTTTGCGTACTCACTATGAAGCGTTTCCAAATGTCGTTTAAGTTTATTAGGTTTCATGCTGTCTGCCGCCAACATTTTTGAGCAAATGATACACAGGGGCGTTTCTTCTTCATTTACTTCAGTATTAGTGAACCCAAAATTTAAGTATTCTTGAGAATATTTTCTTGATTTTATTTTCGGAACCACGCTCGTCTGTGTACTTGTTGATGCTTGTCTATCGTCTAATGCTCGCTTACGCCCGCTTAAAAATTTATCCATGATTCTGCTGCCGTGAATATTTAATAGGGTGAATAGCAATTACACGAAAATATATATAACATACACATTCAGAATAGATTCAATAGCGATAGAAGGATCGACTGGAATGAGATTGTCTGGAATTGAAATTGGGCGTCGTAGAACTTTCTCCTTCTCCCTATGAGAAAACATTTGTTCACATCTGCGCACGCTCCTAACTTAACTTTTAAGCTGACCAGACAAATTCCAGACAAATCGAAACTTCTCGCGAAACCGTGAGAATGCCCGACATGGCGGGACGCAAGAGCAATAAAAAGGCTGAGGATCGGTGTTGCAAAATAAATAAATCAATAAATTAATAAATAAATTTCCGTATTCTTGGTAATTTGTAAAGTTTAAAATTAAGGTTTTAGTGTAGGTTTAGCGCCAAAATACTCAAAGTACGTTATTATTGTATACATTTTATTGTATGAGGTGGGGAGGGGGGCGCGATGAAAATTATGATTGAAAATTGGGCCGTGAATACTAAAAGGTTGAGAACACTGCTTTACAGAACAGTCAGAAGAATTCCGAGAATTGGCAGCTTGAAGATAGATCGACCTGAGGACAGGAAATTTACTCCAATTGGTTTGAACTGAAAGCTATGTGTCTTACTAAGTCCTCGTTTTATTCCTTTAAAAACTATTCGTTGAGAAAACGTTAGAATGAATTTGAAATTGCTATGTGTGAAATAGATAAATAAAAAAGAACAAGGATCCTGCGATGGAAATATTTTCTCGCTGATTAATATATTCAGTGTTAGTCTATTCAAATAGAATAATCTCAACAGAGAAATGAAATCTGGCATAGTTTGCTTTATGATAAGTTTTCGAGAAAATACTTGACTTTGGCATTTTTTTAGTTCAAGGCAAATAAGGGAATTGGTCAATGAATAGGTTTTTGTCCGGATTAAACTTCTCGCATGAACTTATCTAAAACGTAACTGTAGTGCTCATTTATTTACATTGCTTCCAATAATCTAATGTCACTTGAAGTTTTTATTAATAATAGAGAACGCAAACATCAGAACAATTGTAATTCTATAATAAAAGTGTTTCTGGAACAAAGAAAATTAAAGTAACTTATATATAATTACATCCAAACGTATGTATACCTATAGCCAAAAATTCTTACTTTTCTGTTTTAAGATATTTATTTTATAAAGTAGATCATCAATATCTTTGCAATCTAGCCTTTCAAAAGTATCTTTTACCATAACAAGTATGATAATACCCTTATTCTTTTTTGTCCTACTGAAATTCTTAAATAATATTTAATTCGTTTTAAAATAGAGAAAGATAGCTTTCCTGTTTCATTAATTATGAGCATACTTAAGTACATTCTTAAAAATATTTCAGTACTAGCGGAAGTACCCGATGCCAGTTAAGTTAGATTGAGAATAATGCATCTAACAACAGAGAGAACGATACCGCTGTAATCCTTGTCTAATAACGATGTAAAATATACGTATCTATACTTATACATTTTTCAATCTGATGCCATATGGAATCCAATAAAAAATTTCGATAGAAAAATAAACTAGTAATTCTGTCAGCAATATGAATTATATCAGGAACAATGGCACGCAGTTTTTAATAATTTTCGTCTTTCTAGCCAAATGGTCGTAAAAGCTCAAGTTCTATCCAATATTTCACTTATATTCAATGTTAGTCTATTAAAAGTGGCAAAACATTTATCATAATTAATCCGAAATCAATAACACGGGGAAACAAACAAATCCACTGTATAGACTGTGATGTATGGCTGACGCCAACCAACAAGATGTATAGAGGGCGCTGGCTCTTAATCTGAAGGCGCCAAAAGTTTTAGTTTCGAAGAGGGAGACCGACAGAGAGGTCATAGGGAAGGCTCGTGGGAGCAAATAATGAAACAGAAATTAACTTGTATTACTTTATATATTTCAGTTATTAGTATTGTAGTTTAGTATTAGTTTTTTGTTTGTGTAATAAAAGTTCAAAATACAAACTCACCAGTAACAATTTTTTCTCATCTAATTAATCTATGATTTTTCGGCAATATTATAGGAAATTTTCTTTCAAAGTTATACTTACTATTAGCTAATCTTCCGCCTACTCGCAAAATATTTTCCTTATCTAAAAAGGGGTAAAACTTTTTAACTTACTATTCGGAACCACTTTACCATCTTTCTAGAGACTAGCTAATTCTTTCGATTTTGATTAGTTTTAATTCCTCATGTTTAATTCTTTCACTGCTAAGAGGACCGCTAATCGTGTTCTTAGCCTTGAAATTATTGTAGAACCTGTAAATAAAACTTAAAATACGAAAAAGTTTAATATAATTATTACGAAAATTTAAGAATTCACTTAGGAAATAATTGACTTTTATATTAAGTGAAACTTTAGAGTCATTAAGTTTTTTGAGTTAATCAGTCTTTCACAATAACTTCAGTAGGAATCACTTTGCATGGATACTCATCCTTGATCAGGAAACCAGGACCTTTCCACTATAGTTCACTTTGGACAAGCTTGATTGAGTCAAGTCCCCTGGAGATAATATCAGCCGGATTTTCACCGGATGGAACGGGCCGCGATTGTCGCACATCCGTCATTTCTTGAGCCACCGCAACTCAATTACCAACAAACGTTTTCATACAGCAGGGCTCCTTTTACAGCCAAGACAAGACTATCATAGAGTCACTCCAGAAAAATACGAGTACATTATTCACATTAAGTTTCAGAGCAGACCCTTCTCTTTCTCCCCCCTCCCGATCTTTATCAGAAGTCGAGTAAAAAGATGTTTCTACATCTTGACACTCGAGAATAAAATACGATTTGTGTGTGTGTGATATTACTCGAGTCATTAACTTCGCAAACATTACAGCTGCGCATAACTATAATCTTGGTATGATAACTTGCTTTATAGGAGAAACTCTTGATTTACTCTTGATACAAGCCTTATTACTTCACCATATTGGGAGACGGATTTACAATAAACTACAGCTCCATAAGCTAACTCACAAAACCCGGTAACTCAATAACAATTGCTTCTGCGACAAGAATGCATCTGTTAATTTCTAATTTACAAATATGTGGTAATTAAGACACAATAACACGCCGAATATGTGGTAGTTCAGAGAAACACCGTTGCCATTCTTTGGCTTCTTTTTGAGGTAGAAGATCTTCCCAATTGAGCTTCAAAAACCATAGTCTCTGAAGAAATAATTTAGCTTTAGATATCACGAGACCCAATAAACCAAGTGGGTCAAAGATTCTCGCTATTGTCGACAAAACTCGCCTTTTAGTAATTCCACACTCATTTTCTAGTTTCACTTTAAAATTAAAACAATAAACCAAGTGGGTCAAAGATTCTCGCTATTGTCGACAAAACTCGCCTTTTAGTAATTCCACATTCATTTTCTAGTTTCACTTTAAAATTAAAACAATCTTTATCTGCTTTCCAGGAAACACCAAGAGCTGAAACTTCATTCGCGCACTGAAATGTGTATTCATCATCAACTTTAACTGCAAGCTCAGGATTGTTGCTACACCATTTGTGCAGAGTTATAGTTGCACTTTTTAAAATCTCAATTAATTCATGCTGTAGCTCTTTTGCCGAACTCAATGAACTGGACCCTGTTAGCACATCATCCATGTAAAACTCACTCTGTAGAACTGCAGCTGCTAATGGAAAATTTGTGAACTCACCTATAGCAAGCTGACGTAATGTTCTCATGGCTAAAAAAGGTGCACTTACTGTGCCATAGGTGACCGTGTTCAACTCAAAAGTTTTAACTGGAC